CGGGGAAAGAAACTGTTGTTGTAATATGACTTGGAGACAGGTATGTTAACGGTGTATTGATGAGAACTGGAAGAGAACCTAGTGGCACGCTGAAAGGTTCTGAGCGGAGGAACAAGAAGTGCAAGTTCTCCTGAACATCGACCGTGAAAGTATCTGTAGAAGAGGGATAGAGATGCGACATTGCGTCTGTGTGAGTGGGAATCCAGCTTTTCGGCCAGAGAATGGCCGATGGCAACACAGATTCTCCTTTGAATACGGTCTAAAATATGTAGGCAGTCTTTTGGGGCACCAGCCCAGAGATGCGAGCAATACTCCATGCAAGGACGGATGGTGGATTTGTACAGATACAGAATACTTGCAGGAGTGAGGTAGTTTCTGGCTCGAAGCAGTGAGCCTACTTTCATAGCTGCTGATTTGGCTATGGATTCGATGTAGTATCTCCAGGACAAATCCTTGGAGAGAATAAGACCGAGGAGACGGAGACTCTCATTCTCCCGCAACTCGTTGCCATTCATGGATATAGGTGGAAGAAAAGGTTCCCGGTATCTGTTGATGGAGAGGAGTTTTGTTTTTTGGGCGTTGAAAGTGACTAATCAATTGTCTCCCCATTCAACGACAGAGCGCAGATCATTTTCCAACCCAGCTGCCATTTCTGTCTTATCCAGTATGGAACCGGGACCTTTAGAGTTGGAGTAAAGGGTGGAATCGTCCGCATAGACAGCAAGTTGGCATAGAATGTGGTCGGGCAGGTCGTTAATAAATATTAAAAATAGTGTTGGGGCAAGAACTGAGCCTTGAGGAACACCGGCATTGATTGAATAGGATGTAGAAGACTGACCATCAAGAACGACTTTCAACTTTCTCTCTGATAGAAAGGACGAGAGAATGTTGGCCATAGGGCCCCTTATGCCATAGGCTTCTAGTTTTCTGATAAGTCCAGCGTGCCAGACCTTATCAAAAGGCCTTGGAAATGTCAAGGGCAACAAGTCTAGATTCTCCACAGGCATTGAGAGCCCTATACACCTTCTCAGAGATGACAGTGAGAAGATCAGCCGTTGACCTACCAGATCGAAAACCGTACTGAGAGTCAGAGAGCAGGCCGGCGGACTCAAGATGCTTCATCAATGCATTGTTGAGCAAAGTTTCGAAAACCTTGCTGATGACTGGTAAAATGCTTATGGGTCTGTAATTACTAGGACTAGATCTTTCACCGGCATTTTTGAACACAGGAATAACTGATGGAAATTTCCAGGTGGACGGAAAGGAGGATTCTGTCATACATTTTCGATATAGTTTAGCAAGAACTGGTGATAGTTCAGGTGAACACTTTTGCAGTACAATGACAGGAATGCCATCAGGACCGGTGGATTTAGAAGGATCGAGATTGGCGATTATTGTGGAGACTTTGGAAGTAGTTATTGAACAGTTCTCTAGACAGCGCTCAGTTCTTGTAAGAATTTCTGGTGGTGTATGACCAGCGTCATCGAGAGTTGAGTTCCTGCTAAACAGCTCAGCAAACAGCTCGGCTTTATCTTTGGAGGATGTAATAACTTCGGGCCCGTTGAAAAGGGGAGGTATTGAAGACTTCCCATCACTCCGAATACTATTAATAATGCGCCAAAAGTCTCGAGAGCCAACTTGTTGTGATGCGACGCGATCTTGCGTTCTTTGTTGGAACTCGGATTTAGCTTTACGAATGACAGATTTACAGTGGTTGCGGGCTTTGGTAAAGAGCAGTTTATTTGTGTTGGATTGATCGCGTTGAAATTGATGGAAGTAATGATTGCGATGTGCAATGGCTGCTGCACAAGCAGGGGAGAACCATGGGGATGAGTGAGGCTTCATCTGATATTTTCTAAATGGCACGAATGCATCAATGCCAGCCTGCAGCCAAGAGGTAACCTCTTCAGCGCTGGCTTCCGCCTCTTTGGAAAATACTTCGGACCAAGGAATGTCTCTAAGTGAACTCTATTACAAACTTGAAATTATTTAGTTGTGTTTGATATTATCCATAAAGTTTATGTTTAAGTTTGATCTAAGATATCTGTATGTTGAGAGGTTGTGCTATGTATACCACAGGACCGTGTGCTATCCCTGTGTCCATGTGACACCACCACGGAACAGGACATTCATATCAACGACACACTAGTTAGCGAGGGACATGCCATCTTGTCTCCTGACCTATGGTCCCTTTCAACAGAGGTAAGTCAATACACTCTCAAAAGTATATATGTGTGTGTGTGTGTGTAGGTGGGGTGGGTTTTTCAACGATTTAAAACAATATACCTAATCTATTGGTCTACTTTTAACTTCTATCTACATTGCTATGTAGATCGAGGAAAGGAAAACATGCTACATACAACTTAGTACATCGTAATACAATGGTTGCTGTGAATTTTCCGCTTATACGTGTAACATTACATGTATTTCGGACTAGCAATGTCCAAGCTAACCTACCTTGTTTTATTACTGTACATGTATATTGTTCACAGCAAATAATGATCAACATATTAACAAGGTTTGTTGTCAAAGGAATTGCCACATTATCATTACATTGAAAAAAGTTTATCATTAGCGATTAAATTTATTTCTCTTTTTGATCATCTTCTCTGAACAAATATTGTTCTTACAGGCTCCCAACGCTGAGTTGACTTCATCTGGAGCATCACAGCCTGTCAATCAAGACTCCATGGCAGCTCCATCCACCAATCAGCAGGCAGGAGGTGTGTCCCAGCTGCAGGACCTGCAGGATGTGGTGATGCCTGGGATGATCGGCTCCATCTACCCCAGCTTGTTCCCAACCTTCCCTGATCTGTCACAGGGAACACTCAGCCAGGCTGGTAGGCATGGTCATGGTGGCTGTATGGTTGCAGTAATAAAACTTGTTACATGTTAGTTGCGGGTGTCTGGGTGTCTTTTGGAGTCCCTGTACTGAAAATAAGTAATTAGATGCCCTACTGTTTGGTAGGACACCCTATTTTTTCCACTCCCAACCCCTGCCATGCACACATGCCTCCCTTCAGCCTTTACTATACATACAAAACTGATGTTGTAACGAAAGAAAAAACTTGGCTGCCACCTGTACTCCTCAAAATTTGCCCCTCGAAATGCAGGAAGTAGTGTTTGAGACCATTACAAATTTCATAAAAGCCCCCCAAAAAGCTTGTGCATGTGCCGCTTGCCGTGCAGCATTGCTGCGCATAGCATACAATAAAAAGTAGACACCCAACAAAAAAATTCTAGCTAAAGCCTGATTCTGCCCTACGTACGTCCCAATCCTGGACAGATGTGCCTTTTTCCAATGACTAACTCAATTCCTCCTGGTGTTGTCCAGCTCACTTGGACATGTCGTGCCTGTCTGACCGTCGGGAGGCAGCAGGTGAGGAGAACCCGCCCGGTCCTGGTGAGGAGGAGACCATGCAGCAGGTGTGTGAGGAGCTCAACCTGGAGGCAGAACCACCCAAACCCAGGCACATCAAACAGTAAGTACAGCAGACAATAGAAAGTTTTCCTTTGGAATTGATTTTGGCATTCTACGACATTACCAGTAGTATCGTTTTCCAGTACGTATTTCTCTTTTGTAATTTACGGCATATTTCTGCTCATTTTGCAGCTGCTTTGTACAATTTACAGTATGGTCGAAAAATTTTTTTTTGGGGGGGGGGGATGTCATCCAGCAGATGTCATCCATGTACTGTACAGTAATCAAATCAACATGGCCTTAGTACAGCCTCTACCAGGCTTCAGAAGTGGCTGGAAAGGGTAGAAATTAGCCAAATTCAGGAGAGTTGGTCTGGAAGAGGAGTTAGAGATAGTTTTCTGAAGGAAATAGTAGAAAAATTGTTTTTGTATCTGTGTAGGGAGGGTTTGTTTTCTGCTTTCTGTTTGAAGGCAACAGACAAATATTGTTGTTAACTTTTCGAAGTGCAATTTTTACGTTTGTTTTTATGTTTGTACCTTTAGGGTACAGCTGACAGAGGATCACCATGTCAGCATCATTAAGTACCAGGACAAGCCCTACATCATCAGTGGAGAAATATCTGCCTTCTTCTGGGACTCCGACCTGCTCAGATCCATGGTGAGGGGACATTCATGTCATGTTTGTTGATGAATGAGAGTCTGCCTGCCTTTTTTTATGAGGCATAGTGAGCTACTTTTAATTCAGCATTAATCGAAAGGGGTCCACTCTAATTCAACATGAAGCATCAATTGTAAAGCTGCAGATTATGTCTAGCCAATCTTGTAGGCATCTCAATTTTGTTTGACATAACATTATAAAGTTTGAAATCTTGACCCTCTGAAACAATATTTTTGCATTTCGAGGAGAAATTTTGCTGGTAGACGAAGCTTACTTGAATGACATCTTCTTCCATTCTTTAACACAGATTTTTGTCTGTCAAAGTTGACAAATTGGGCAAAGTTTGTGTCTACCATGAGCAGCAAGTTTGACAGAAAGACAGACACTGGCTAGAAAACTGGTTATGTCTCTAATTCCTTGTACTTCTTGATTATTATGTATCTTGCCAGTTGCGCCAAAAGAAGTTGGTCATGCCTAAGGAGGTTGTGACAAGTGATTTGTGTCCTGAGCTGTTTGAAGACTTACAAAGGTAAGCTCATCAGGAGGCTTCTATTCTTCAACTGTAGAGATTTTACTTTCTTTAACTGTGTTGCTAGGAATCTTAAGTTTGTCAGTAATGAAATGAAAAGGCCTTTGTGGTAACTCTCAATCTAAAAATTCCAAACAAATTTGAAGAGTTGAATTCACAGCTACCGGATCATTTTAAAACTAAGCAAGACAGAATTTAACATTTTGAAACTCAGCAGGACAGATTTTTAAAAATATATGTACTGTTATAGCCTGTATGGGGTACTTTTAAGAGACAATATATGAAGACAGAAAGGACATTTTGTTCAATGCACTGGTAGATCATTTGTAAGTCAATGCTAATTAAGTTAATGAAGTGGAGTTTCCATTGTTAGTGTGCATGGGTAATGATGCATGAAAACAGCCATTTCCTTTGGAGCTGAGCTCGGGAATGTTTGAATGGTTTTCACTGTCCCCAGTTAGCTTGATTTTATTTTCTCTCTGTCTGATTTTTCTTCTCAGCTTTCTTAACAAAAACTTAACTTTTGCCAATGTCTTCAGAGTCTTCAACTTTGCACCATTATGCCCCCCCCCTCATCCTTTCCCTGTATCCTGAGTCCTGACTAATTTTGATTCATCCACTGATGTAAAACGATACTCCCCTGTAGGTGTTCCACAGTAGCCTGGTTGAACAGGGCACATGTGGCCTGTCACTGAACCAGTGCCAGGCAAGATGAATGTGTTTTTAAACATCTGCAGAATAGGTCAGGACAACACCTAACACAGGAACTGGTCAAGACAAGGACAGGACCTTGTGCTGTAAAGATTTGAACATGTGGGAAACAGCTGAAACTACTGCAGAAAATGCTTGGAAAATGCCCTGGAATTCATTTCGTGACCAAAAGACTCGGGCTGTCACAAAATTTACAGGGTAATTTTAGTATATTTACATTATTCACTACAGAACATGGTGGAACTTGATCTGAAATAATCTCCCATGAAATTACCATCACTGGCCGCTTGTCTGCACAGTCTAGACAAGCATGGTTGGTTTACATGCCCACCCAGTCACTCCAACCTAACAAAAGGCATTTACCTCTAGCATACAAAGCTGCAGGGAAAGCTAGCCTATATAACCTCCTCACTAACAGGGCATAAAGATTGGAAGGAAACCTGCTTCATATTAGAGAGACATTTTACCACTGTCCTACTTTTTAAGGTTTAAGATAAGAAGACAAAATATAGAATGGAAGAAAGATTAACCTAATTTACTACTGGTATACCAAAAAGGGCCAGAAATAGACAATGGAAAACTGGGGAAGACGGCAGCCCACAAGACAACTGTTAGTGTATTTCCTTATATGGTCAGCGGTATACATTACCCATGGTTAAACAGAGTATTGCATGCTGGTCCGGTTATACAGTCTGGAAGGGGTTATTGGTTGTCGTTTTTGCACACAAATAGCTACATTTATGTTTATTTTGGAGCATTTTACTGAAAAACACCATGGTCTACAATAGGGTATTTCTGATGCAAGGATGTATCTTTTTAGGAGGTGTCTTTTTAGAATAAACATGTACCATTCAGATGTCAATCAAACCCAATCAGAGCCATCACGAGTTGAAAGGTCACGAGTCCTCGTGTGTCATGTAAATCCTATGCAAACGTGTACGAACGCCACACCGAGTCATGGGCCTGGCAGATAAACCAACTACGCTGCCAAAATATCCTACTAATGTAAGAAAGATACAGGATTTCAAACCAAACTGATCAGAGAGTAAATTTAAAGTGGATTTGGTACATAGTATCAACAGAAAAACTTAGGCCAGAAAAAAGCCATAGTCTTTAGACAAAGCAAAATGTTCCTGCCGAAGCAGCCACGGAGTGATAGAGGTAATCAGAACGCCGGGCTACAGGTGCACCTTTGTTCGTTATCGCTTCTCGGCCTTTTGGCTAAGATCAAGTGTAGTATCTGTTCTTATCAGTTTAATATCTGATACGCTCCGCATCGCGGAGCCATATATTAAATTGATTTTTGGAAGAAGGCTATGGACTAGGTGCTTGCACCATCCTAGCCACGGGTTGGCCCGGTATTGCAGTACCTCCGGGATCGGCCCACCCCTTCGGGGGTCTATATATAATCTAAAAACAGTTCACACTCACTCTTCTCCACTTCTCTTACTCACTCACTCCACACTTCTCCACTTCTCTCACTTACTCCCTCACTCATTTGCTGGCTTGCTCACTCACTCACTCCACCTTTCACTTCTCTCACTCACTCACTCACTCACTCACTCACTCACTCACTCACTCCACCCTTCTCCACATATCACTCACTCACTCCCTTCACTTCTCTCACTCACTCACTCTCACTCATTCACTCCACCCTTCACTTCTGTTCTCTCAATCACTCACTCACTCCCTTCACTTCTCTCACTCACTCTCACTCATTCACTCCACCCTTCTCCATATCTCACTCACTCACTCCACCCTTCACTTCTGTTCTCTCAATCACTCACTCACTCCCTTCACTTCTCTTACTCACTCTCACTCTTTCACTCCACCCTTCTCCACATCTCACTCACTCACTCCGCCCTTCACTTCTGTTCTCTCAATCACTCACTCACTCCCTTCACTGCTCCCACTCACTCACTCCACCCTTCTCCACTTCTCTCCCTCCCTCTCTTTCTCAAAACCTATTGGGCTGTACAGCCTGTACTTGTTTAGAACACATTTATATTCAGAACATGTGAAAAAAAAATTCCTTCATCAATGTTTGTTCATCAGTGTCGGTTCCCTCTCCCTGCATTTACCTGTGTTCTGTGTGTTTTTCAGGCTGAAGGTGACAGGCATCTTTGAAGGCGACAGTTTGAGGTCACATCTCACCATATATGAGCTCCAGTGGTGGGTATAAAACACATAAAATCTCAGCATAGCTTACAGTATTACATCAGTTATGCTTTCACCAAAGAGGAAAAATATTTGAATGTGAGCAGCTGTAATTAGATGAATATTCAAAATGTTTTATGCATCATGGATTTGATTCCTTCTCACAACAAATGCATCATACTAAAAATAACAATCTGTCAAGGGGTGCTAATATATGGGCACAGTGGAACTCTGAGGACCATAAGGATGTACACCAAAAGATTATAGCATTACAATGTGGCATCTCTGATGATAAAGTTTGTGACAATGATTGTCTGACTGTTCCAGTGTCCCAGACATCCTGTCAGCCTTTGAACACTCGTCCCTGGAGCTAGCAGACAGAATACAGGAGGAGTTCCACAACTTTGACCCTGATCATCCTTACTGGAAGGTAGAGAATGATGTGCATTTTTGTTCAAAGTCTAAGAACAAAAAATATTTAGACTTTTTTACCAGAAAGTTTGGGATCTCATACCTAGCCTGGGTGCCATCCTGTTTGTATACCAGAGTAGAGAATATGGGACACAGACAAATTCTTACCAACCTCGTTTGTAAAACTGTCAGGACTCAAAATTTGATGTAATTCGAGTTCCCAGGAAGCATACATCAGTTTAGCTATCATCACAACTGCTTCAAAATCCATAAAAGTGAAAATATGTACAGCTGTGAGAACAATGATGCTGGTAACAACCCATGAATTGTCCTGTAGGGCATTGACCTCCCAGATTCAGACAGCCAGGAGGAGGAGGAGGAGGAGGATAGTGATGAGTATGACTTCACCCTGGACCAACTCAGACTCACTCTGCAGACTCTACAGATCAAAAGGTCAGATAAGGGGGGACAGGAGTTATATTATGTCCACAGTGGTTTTGTTTTTGTGGACAGATTTTACTGAAAATGTGTGTGAGCTATCAATGGAATTTTGTTTAAAATGACGTGAATTTATCTGTCAGAGGTAAAGAGGGCTAAAATTGTTAACTCTATCCAGTTTAACATCTTTTTTCCCCAGCTGGGGTTAGACGTGCTTGCAACAAGTGCAAGTCTTTCTTGAAGGAAAATTTTTTGCGGCTGGATGCCCTTCCTAACACCAACCCAAACCCCAGTAGTAGGGCCCAAGATCCCTTTCACTGAGGGGAGAAATACGTGTCAAGTGCCCAAGGGCACAACGTCTGGGTGCATGTCCAGACATGTCTGGGTCCAACCCTGGGGACTGAACCTGGGTCCTCTTGGCCTAAAGATTAGTGGTCAGTGGCCATCAGGACACCTTTAATTCGAGCCCTGCATCACATTGACGTTGCCTATACTGACTCTCCCAGACAGCGGATCCTGCATGAGATGGTGAACAGTCCCGGGGCCAGCAGTGTGGACGAGCTGAACACCGTGGAACTACAGATGACAGACGTCCGCAACAGGATCAAACACAAGGAGCAGGAGGAGACTGAAGGTAACGTTACAACAGTGTATAGTAGAGTGGATTCAGTCCTCAAGCTAACTGACATCTAACACATCACAGTTGTACCTCAGTAAGACATCTGGAGCCACATAGCTCTCGTTTAGAACTTTTATTTGGCCTGTCGCACAGGTCATGTACAATGGTGTGTTAGCAGAAGGTATTACATTTGGAAGTCAATGATTTTGTAAAGACTTAGTTGTTGTATGTTTGTTTTTCCAGATGAGCTGTCCGCTTCCTTCCGTCCCCTGGGTTTCCAGGCATCCACTCACGATGAAGTTGTCCAGAGGTGTGTTGACCAGCAGTACCAGTCCCAGACCAGAGGTCAAGCAGACACTGACACTGGTGGACACACAGACAAGGCAGGGAAAGGGGCACAGGTGAGTTGGCAAACTTTGTTCTGGGATGAACAGTGGCATTCTCAGACATGTATAACGAGTGGCAAGGCAAAAAATTCTTCTTTTCCCCCATTTCTTTCAATTTTGCAAGTTGTCAGAAATTTTGCATGCAGTTTTACTGGAAATAGTGAGAAGGTTTTTTTTTTCAGACGAGTCCTGCACACTTAAGTCCATGACTGTATGGTGTTTACTGAAATACATATTTAAAGTTCGTTAGCAACCTGTCATTCTCACACTTAGGCTAATGAGGAGTTAAAACCAGACAAGACTGGTGGGAACTGGAGTAACTGGAAGGAGGTGGAGACAACTAAGAAGGAAGACAAAAGCCCAGAGAAACAGAGAGGACCCTCCCAGGCCTGCACAACTCACTCGGCAGGGAAGGAGGCCGCAGTGTCTGGCAAGATGGCAGGGGAGGTGACAACACCAAGGCAGCCCACGAACAGTATGTCTGGACAGAGAGTACAGGCACCGGGAAAGAATGCCACAAGCCAGCCCGTAGTCGCAGTGAAGCCCCAGCAGGGCAGTGAAGGGAGAGTTCAGGGTGGGGGAACTCCCTCCAGGCCTTTAGTAGCGTTACACCCAGATCCGCCCACCATGTCACCCTACCTCCAGCAGCCTTCTGAACAGCTTCCCGCCATGTATCAGCAGCAGCCTGTACAGTACACAGTCACAGCTACAGCACAGTACTACCAGCAGTACACCCCACAACAGTACAACCCTCAACAGCAGTATAACCAGCAACAGTACAACCCACAACAACAGTACAACCAGCAACAGTACAACCAACAGCAGCAAAACCAGCAACAGTACAGCCCTCAGCAGTACAACCAGCTACAGAACAACCAGCAACAGTACAACCGGCAACAGTATAACCCCCAGCAGTACAACCCTCAACAGTACAACCGGCAGCAGTTCAACCCACAGCAGTACAACCAACAGCAGTTCCCCCAGTACCCCCCTCAGCATCTCTTCCTGAACCAGCCCCCTCCCAACGAAGTTCCCATCTCCCAGGGGGTATACATCCCCCCGGACATGCAGGTCCAGCCGTACCACAGGATGATGCACAATCAGTACAATAACATGTACGGGGTGAGAGGACAGGCTCCTCTAGGACAGGGCAGGGGACAGACCATGTATAGGTGAAGATGTAGCATAGTTTTTATAGTATAGTGTAGTGTAGCATTGTATAGGGAGTATAGTGTAGTGTAGTGTTGTATGAGGAGCTTGAAAACTCAGTTCACCAAAGAATAGGCACCACAAAGTTACACATAACAGTTCAGTAGATGAGGTATTTTTGCCTTCGATGGAGTCAATATATTTTAGGATACCAAATGTCATAGTGATATAGCACATTTTGGTGACCATTTGTTTCTTTAGTGTTCGCATTTCATTTCTGTTGAAAATTTTTGTGGAGTTCTGGCCTGGAGGTGTAGACGAAATGAGGAACATGATATGAATGTCAGTTTGACAAGGATGTCACACATAGACAGGGCATTTATTCTTTGGGTCTTTTTCCTTTCCAGGTTTCTAAAGACCCCTTTTCTTTCTTTCTGGAAGTTGTGGTGAGAATAAAGAACTATTTTTGTACCAGTAAAATCATGGACCAAATCAGTATCGACCAAAGAAGAATAGTTTGGTTACAGTTCAAGAAAGAGTGACAGCTTTAGCTTTGGGTAGGTTTTATTTGTGTTCTTGCTACATATGTATTAACTATTTTTGTATGTTTCAATTATTGAAGATGTATCAAAGGCGTCAACCATGACATTAGAGTAATTCAGAGAGGTTCTTTTGGTTCTCTGTTTGGTTTTCATTGCTTTATCATTGAGTTTTAATGAAGTTTTGTTTCATTAGTTAGGTATAATATTTGATGGCTTGCAAAATTAATCAAGTGACATACTAACTCAGTAAAAGTGTTGTTACAGTAGGTTATAGTGGAACCTTCTGTAAATGGTGCTTCATGGAACTTTGTATGTTTGGAAATAGATCATGGGATACTCTAACTTTAACACAGCCTTAGGTGAGTTAAACATTTAGACTTTCATGAAAATAGTTACATTGTCATATCATAACCATAATTTAATTGTTCTGATAGCTATACCACAGTTGTACTAGAGTTAGCTTTAACACTACATTGAGAATGACATGAGAGTAGAGATATAAGACAGTTAAGTGCACTTTTGCCGTTCAATAAAGAAATATGAAATTCAGGCTGTCAAACTTGTCATAAATTATGGTAATGAGGAAGCTCCCCTGAATTTACCATTAGGAGCTGCCAGGATCCCCCATGCAGACCCTCAGAATTATCTCATGTATTGCTATAACAGATATGACAGGTGATAAAATAATGAAAGAAAGGGTACAATATCAACATCATGATTGTTCTGGGTATATCTTTATTTACCAAGGTCATGAAGTTGAACTTGATGCAAGTTACAAAACTGTAGCTGGTGTCTGTAATGTTACATATGACAGTCATGCAATGCTTTGCTAGCTAAAATGTTAGGCAAAAACTGATACAGGGGATGTGTCATATTGCACAGTGCCCCATGGTAAGATAGATCTATATACAGAAGAATTACACTAAACAAGACAGTTTCATATGTGTGCTATTCTATTGGACATTTTAAGGCATCCATTGCAGTTTTAAAGGCTTGGAAACTGGATTTTTCAAAGCCAATATATTCTAGCCATTTATATACATACTGAGTTGAAACCACACTATCCCAAAGTATATTGACCCTCACGTAGCAAAGACTCCCAAAATTCTGATGGAAAATGGTTACTAGAAGGGCTCTTGGCTTATTTTAAGGGTACCACTCAGGAAATAAAGGACTTATCTCGGGGCTTGTTTCTGCAGATTAAGCCAGAAGTATAAAATGCTGACTTAAATGTGCTAATGTGAAGCAGTATGTGTCAATATGAAAAAGATAGCCTTATTCAGAATATTTCCAGTTTTGCTGCCCTGAAATCGCATTGGATGCCTTTAAAACACTTGACCCAAATTTGCCGTGTTAAGGCTGTCTCCTTTGTCCAAGCAACTGAAATTACTTCTTTTTCCTTCCTTGACATAAAAGATAGTTCTTGAGGTGTGAACTAGGTTCCACTCTAATGAACTAACAACTAGTGCTTCTAGCATCCTATGATGCTGAAGTTAAAAGTAGGAGACTAACTTTTAGTTCACACTGGTGCAAAAGTACAGTCACAATTTTTAGTTGTATGTTTTTGGCTATTTCTCTAACATTGTCATTCCTATAATTGGTCTAAAATGTGTGCTATGGCTCTGTATCTAGCATATACATGTAACATGTAGTCCTTACCAGGGTACTTAGCAGTGCTTTTTACATTATATACATTAGCATGACTGTATACAAATAAAGGGGAAAATGTGAAATGTCAGTCAAAAGTCTTTTAGATCTGTAAATTAGTTGTAAGGGTTATACTTGCATCACATTTTAGCAACTGAGGGTTATGTTAATTTTTGTACATGTATATGTAATATTAATAACTCAAATCTAGAATGTATTCCCATGAGTTAAATGTTTCAACAATATCTTCGCAGTATACAACTGTTGCATCTTTTCAGGAAAACTAAAATATTAGATACTACAATTTAGTCTGCGACAAGGTTTCCAAATACATTATACATTTACCTGTAGTAGTAATTAATTTATTTTCAATACATCAATAGGGCAAGGCCGCAAGGGGTTAACAACTTTTTTTAACTCTTCTTATAAATCAGTTCAATAATCCACTGCAATTTTGATTGCAATTTTACAGCGTCTATGGCGGCATAGTCCTATTTTATGGCCTCCATGGTCGTTTTGAAACAGGCCCGCTCCATATCCCGTTGGAACCAAAGCGCCTGGTGGCACTGCCTGCAGTACTGGAGTCGTTGCCCCTGATGATGGGGGCGCTTTTGATCCGTACGCTGCGTTTGCTGCTCCCGGTGGGCACCTCTTCTGCCCGCTGCCTCTCCGCCGCCATCCGCTGGAGCTGAGCCTGCACGGTTTGCGGAAAATATTGATAAATGATAATTTGTTCAGGCTTTACGGTTTCTCAACGCAATGTTTGGTCACGCGCGCACACACCGACACACATACTGACACGTACTCTCCAAGCAGAGGTTTGGGTTATTCTTGGCGTGTTTTTAGGCTTTTTATCGGGGTTTCTTTTTTGCACTGGAATTTTTATTTCACCCAACCACAAAAAAAAACCCAAGTGCAAAAAAGAAACCCCAATAAAAAAAGACTAAAAACACGCCAAAATAACCCAAACCTCTGCTTGGAGAGTAACTGACACGTATATAAGTCTTATCTACATACCCACCTCTATCTCTCGTTTCTCAAACGTGGCGTTCATCCTCTCCAGGCTGTACACAATATCAGTCGCCAGGTCCAGCGCTATAGGGAGTAAACTAACCAGCCCGCCATAGTAAGTCCGTGCCTAAAAAAATGGCAACGTGTAAAAGAGTTAACGTTAGCTCTCCCAATAAAAGTTGCAACAAACAAACGATTTTTAAAAATCATTTCCACGCCTATCGGTGTATAGGGCAGTGCAATGCGCTACCTCGCCAAGAACCGGATGTTTTTCCAATTTTTTCCGAGATTTTTTTCCCGATCTTTTTCACTACTTTTTCCGATTTATTTGTCACTATTTTTTCCGATTTTTTTTCACTATTTTTTTCCGATTTTTTTCACTGTTTTTTCCGATTTTTTTCCACTATTTTTTTCCGATTTTTTTCACTATTTTTTGTCGATTTTTTTCACTACTAGTATTTTTTTCCGATTTTTTTCACTACTTTTCAATTTTTTTCTCATCTGTTTGCCGCTGCTGACCTCTGTACAGCTGAGATGGTTGAGCTCCTGATGAGGGAAGCCGACCCTCAGACTGGAGAAGTCGTAGTTCGGACTGAGCATGCCCCGCCACTGCTCCATCCGGGCTGACGTCTCCGGGGTGGAACAGGCCCGGAACACCGGGCCGTTATGTACAGCTGCGAGGGGAATACAAACGGTCAAACTTTTTTTCCTAAAGCACCGACTTTGTCTTCACACCAAATGTAACTCTGATTCTAGAATGGTCGGTAGATCTCTGTAGGCTCTACCAGGCCTCAGAATCGGTTTGGAAGAACTTGGCCAGATACAAGTACAATGTACATTGTACTAGTATATAAGATTCTAGCCAGGATACTAGTAGTTGGTCCTCTGCAACGTACTGTATAGTTTGAGCGGCAGTCAAACTCAAGCTCCTTTCTCCTTTAGCGGACTGACTAAGCTTGGCATATTGTCTGTCTACTTTGGCCAATGTCTACTCTTTCTGCCTTTCTTACGCCTGGTAGAGGCTAAGATCTAATGTCTACTCTTTCTGCCTTTCTGAAGCTAGGTAGAGGCTAAGATCTAATGTCTACTCTTTCTGCCTTTCTGAAGCCTGGTAGAGGCTAAGATCTCTGTCCGAACTATGAAATCTACATTTTCAAGGCTCCTTTGCTACCTAGCACCCTAGACTACAGTATGCCGACCTTCTCTGAAGTCCTCCATGTCCCTGTGTAGGTTGAGGAAGATGGTGAGGATCCGTCTGTCTGTGGCGCTGACTGTGTGCTGGTCTGTGTAGGCCACAACCTGTCCTATCGTCCTGAAAATACAGATTATCGTCAATGGAGAGAAATGTCTCTTGCTGTAGGGTACTGCATTGAAGAACGAAGGACTTCTGATATTGCATCAAGGGCATCAAGGACCTGAACACGGGCCCCGTCTCCACGGGCTTAATTGGCCTGTTATGTGGAAACTTTACCTGAAACTCCCATAGCTATAGTATAGGTTATATGAATTAGCCCTGACTTCCAGGCTATCGTTCAACCATTAGTATAACCATTACCTCGGGACCCAGGTCTCCCTCAACAGGTTCTGCGCGTATACTATAGGACGTATATCAATCTAGGTAAGTGAAGACGTGCTATACAGAATGCCCCTCCTACCTGACGGGTTCCAATCGCTCCATGTCAGGCACCAGTTCCCGGGCTCTGTCCAGCGCACGGGTGAAGCTGATCAGCTGGTTCTTAAACGGTCTGTACCTGTCCGACACAGGGTTTAGACATAGGGTAATCATTCATATTTATGCCATTTTACGTTGAATAGAATCTATAATAGTCTAGAACATACCGTGTGTCGTCTGACAACTAGGAGCACCATTTAAATGAGTTATACAATGTCTTGAACTATACTATTGAATGGATGTTGAACGTACTTCTCTCTGAGTCTCTGCAGCTGTGTGTTGTAGTTCCCGGCCTGTAGACTGCCTAGCGGGGCCCTCCTGACGCTGGGCCGTGCGGAGGCCGGGCGGGCGCTGGCCGGTCTCCCCCGGGCTTCCGCACTACACTCCCGGGCACTCCGCGCGCTGCTGGGCCGGGTCATGGCAGACTTCGCCGGCTTGATGGGCCAGTACATTGCCTCAGCCGACCCCGACATTATGCTCTGCTTACCGAGTACCTGCAAGAGGAGGAATGTATATGTGAAGAATGTATCTAGTATTTATGGGGGCCTGCATGCCCTTTTCCGTAGAGCGTAACCGGCCGTTTTAATTCTACGTAGAGCGTAGATGGACCGCTCTAATTCAATGTAGAGCGTATTCAATTTGTTTCGCGTCACAAAGTTTGATCCTACGTAATGCGTTGTAGCTACCCGGAATATACGTAAAACCTAATGGGGGCTTCCTGAATTCAGCGTAATACGTAGCCGGCTCTCCCCCATGCAGGCCCTCATTTATACTAGCGAAGCGCTCATGCAAGCCGCGCTATCTCAGTTCTTTCATGGTTCTTTTGTGTTCTAAAGCGGCGGTATTTGCATGGAAAATAACTCAGTTGCACATCTGACACTTAAGAAACGTTTTCATTTCATGATCCACGGTGTAAACGATTTGGAGTAATGAAAACAAAAACAGCTCAAGCAATATTGTCTCCCAAACCATACCGTCACAATCGTGCTTTCATAATGCCTCTGAACCTTTTCTCGTCTTTCTTTTCCTTTTGTGTGGTCACGCGAAACATCTGATCTGCTTCGAAAACTAAATACAGTACACGGTAGTAGTGTTAACGATACACACAATTATCTTTGTTATTCCTAGCGAAAAAAGAACTCCACCCATTCACATTCCCCAAGGCAATAACAGCATTTTTAGAAAGCTACTTTCTCTCTAGAACAGTAAGAATTCGGTGTGAGGTAGATGTGTATGAGTAGAGGTCTGTGTAGCGAAAAGCCGGTCTCACTACGGAAGAGCGAAGATTGCAGGGTTGTTAGTGTACACAGGTGGTGGTGTGGTGTGTATGAGACCACTCACACAAACACAGATGCACAGAGCAGGGTATTATGTTTCGTTCCTTCCACCTGCAAAGTACGGAACCATAATTTACAAGGACGTTGACCTCATTGCATAAATCGGGACTTTAGAGATATGCGTAAAGACGGACAGAAGAAACTGTATCTTTGTTGATAAGCCAGGGCTTCTGACAGAAATTTAAAGCTGGCGCTAGGCTGGTTTAAGTCAACCGGCAAGAAGGGAATGATATATGTCATGTCACGCCTTCCTCCGTCGTCAAAACAAAGAAACAAATGAACACTAGAGATGGGCGGAACGTACATGTGAATCACACGATGATGTCAATATAGATACCATATCTGAGGTACATGTACAGGCCAGGGTACTGGTATATGTGTATCGTGCTCGGTGGTTTCCTTGCTTTTTCTGTATCAAGACTTGTTGATGGAAAGGGTTTGTTAGCGCCTTACCTTTCCTTACGCATAAAGAATGTTTTAGTCATGAACCTAAGACAGGGCTGGCCTAATATAACGTTAACCATCAGTATTGTGTGCGCGTTGTTATCTTGCTCTGGTTTCCTCGACAAATTCAACGTAGACGTTTGTTGAGGGTGTTCCAATTAAGGTCCTGTGCGGTATATGGACTCTTAACGTCAAACCAATAGAACGCACGCTGATGAAGTGTAGATATTATACTCACAGACAATTGAACCTCTATTACTGGATACAATACGGAGATTTTATCTAGTAGTTTTCACTGTATTTCATTCAGTAGTATTTTGAATTGTCTATAAGTGACATGCATATCTGGTTGGACAATGTCTATCCAGGTGGCCCCTACATACACCGGTGCGTGTCATTTTACGGTTGAAAACCTCGGCAAAAATGTTGTCAGACCGGATGACTTCTGTTCAGTCATTTGTTGCAGGATAGGCTGTAATTTCTGTGACACATGTTTCACTTTAAGACGATAATAACAGGGTATTTACTTAAGCTTGCTCCTCAATTTTTCTTACTCGGAAGTGGGTACATTGTACACAATTCAACTGCTCCCTATATGTAGAGTATTTCACAAAACCACGTTTTTTTTCGCCAAATATTGTTTTAACATTGTAGATATGTTCTAGCTAGGGTGTGTCAGGTATTTTTATACTTCTCGCTATGAAAACACCGCCACAACACCTGTTTGTCACTTCGATAAGTCCGATAATCTTGATATCGTCATTTTCTAGTCTGTGAGTAATTACTCGTCTATATGTTCGTGTCAGTCTCCGACAAGAACAGTGGTGGAACTGGCTGCTTCTGGTTGTATTTATTTATGGTTACGTCGAATATTGTTTGTTGACCACTGCAGTTGTCAAGTGGGAGGAGTGCTAGCTTGGCTGTATAATGCGGTAGGTCGCAGGTTCGATCTCAGACCAAGTCCAAAGTCCAAATACTTAAACCAACTTTGATGTCTAATGTTGTAATACTAGCAGTACAAGACAGGCAACAAAATACTGTACAGGAATAAAGCCCACTACCCACTAGCCTCCGTAGCAGGCTTATAGACCTGGGCCCGTTTGGTGGTCTTCGGCTGTTTTCTGATAAACCCAGTTTAATTCAACCAGGCCTGCTATGTTGTCTATATGCAATCAGTAAATAGCACATAAAAGCTCCCAAAGACCCTGAAGACCCTCCCCCCTAGTTTTTGGCATGCTATGGAGGCTAGCTACCCACTCCATACGTCTGCTTGAAGAAGACATGTTCATCACCACGGAACGGTTTCGTAAACAAACGCCATGAGGAGACAGGTTACATTGACGCTGTGTCAACCTGAGTAATCTCAACTACCATTGGTCAAACATGGGTGAGGAGTGAGGCCGTTTGTTTACCGTGACTGCCAAGTGGGTAGCGAAGTCTCACTCCTGAGGTGATAATTGACGCTTACCTGTACAAACATGTACAGTACATTCCCTCCCACTAGAATCGTTGAACGTCCTAAGTAACATCCTAAAAACGATTTTGTTGCACACCCGTTTTAGTTTACTCTCCAAGAAGAGGTTAATGGAGGAAGATCGTTACCTTTTTATAAATATGGCCTTTTTTTGTCACAACCGCCACCCTCTCTGGCCAATGGATACTGCCTGGCCAATTTGATACTGTCTTTTTGACACCCTAGGATCTGCTTGGAGATTGATTTTAGTTGTTAGGCAGCCACAAACACAAACGCATAGTGGACACAGTCGCTTCACGTTTGATCTGGTATTATGCCCATATCCTTTCCTAATTAATACCCATATCCTTTACTAATTTGATTAATCAAACCAGTACAGCAACAAAATCAATGCTACCACATGATGAGAAATACCTTCTCTTTAGTCGTGTCGAATGCTGGAGCTTGTCCAAGCAACACCCAGCTAGCTAGCGCTCCTTCGTTTCTTCTTTTAGTAGATGTTTGCTACGTTTGCCGAATCGATCGCGTGGTAAGGCAGTGTTTACAGTGTCTCCTTCACCTGGTGACACGCTATCCCCACGTCTACTGATCGGAATGCCAACAAACGATCACTATCTTCTCACCAACCATTATAATCCCTGAACCAATTTGTACTCGTAACAGTTATATATATAACGGCATAAGAACATACATAAGACCCAATAAAGAGTCTGCTTTTCACAATGCTGGAAACACAAGATTACCAACACTTCAAAAACATGCAGGAGTCAACATGACTAAAAGGTTGTTTTGTCAACACGTCAAACATTGCCGAGTTACAAACTGTTTGTTTCGGCTGTCAACAAATAAGGCTTGAAACTACCCTATGATGAGGCATCAACACTGAAAAACAAATTTTTCAGTTTTAATTAACGATTGTCTCTTTTATGAAGCAAGATTGAACTGTAAAACTGTCACTTTTATCATCTTCATTGCGGTTCTTTCCATAAGAAAAATTTTCTTCCACGCTACAAACCTATTTTTAGGTCGTGCGATTTTTTTTTTATGATAACGAGTAGAACTACTGAAATATTTAATACTAACACATATATCATTCTCCACGTGAAAGGCCAAGTGCCGAGCTACCTTTGTCCCCTGTGACAAAATGTTGTTCCTTACGGGGTTCGTGGATAAAGAAAAAGAAATGATTAACGACTTTAAGCTCTCAGGTTGTCCTACTAGAGGGACAGTTGACGTAACGTGAACGTTAGAATATATACGCTAATACAGGCAAGGAATTGCAAACTACATTGACAAAGGGGGGATTTTTTGGCCCTTTTTTCCTGCCGAAGGGAAGGTTGATTCGGTTGAAGGACGCTCTCTAAAGCACCCTGTGCCAAGACAAACATGTCCACCCCTACCAAAGGGACTAAAGCACGCAAACACTTACCGCTACACAATACACGGAAATCCTCTAAAGCAAACTATGATCCAGGGCGTATACCTACGCTACCTGCTTGTCGGGATCAACTACTATATCTGAAAATATTTAATCTTGTGGTTATACCTGCAGTGTATCAGGTAGGGTTAGGTTATATCAAAGGTAAGCGATATGTTGTTGCCGTGCGGAGAACAAAAAACAAACCTCTTGAGAGGACAGACATTCAAGCCGGTTCTAAAGGTCTCTCTCTACTCTTGTTCTTCGCGAGTGGTGCACATGAATGGAGCCACACTGGCCTAGTATAGAACAAATGAGATCTAAGATTCCCTCGGAAGTATAGCCCAAAGCAGCACCTGGCTTTAAAACCAAAGAAATCATATAGCTATCGACAACTCAGCAGGAGAAGGTTTAATTATGTTCCAGCGTTTTGGCGTAGATTGGGATAAACGGTTCAGATGTCTTCCGACTAAAGAAATGTTTGTTGTCGTTTCTTTGAGGAAACAAGTGTAGTCGGGGTTCATCTTTTTCTCACTTTGCATATAAAACACACAGCAGTACAGTTTGTATTTACTTTGTAAGCAAAACACAGCATAAACAGTCAATAAAAAGCGACAGTTTCGTTGTTAATTATCCAGCTACCACTAGAGGGGCCTTGAGTAATCAAATTTCGAAGAAATGGTCTGTTTATAAACAACGTTTTCAAGGTGACGCGTGAAGTTACAATGGCGTAAGGTTCGGGTTTCCAACACCACAAGACGGCAACTTCTTTCCTCACCAGGGCCGACCAATCTCTTAAGGCATAATTTGTCAACTCGACAACACTTTCTAGACAAGTACACCCGGAAAAAACATGTAACACGGCTATATTCTCTACTCAATCAAGCAAAATCACAACAAGTGACCATATTAAAAAGATCTAAAAGCGATACGCATAAGTGTCACAGCTAGAACTTCACTAGTTGTCATACCATCCAAATTTTCTCACCTTTCTTGACGATTTTATGGCGTAGCCAGTCCCGAACTGTAGCGTACGGTTCAACCAGTACCTGTCACCAAGCCTAACCTGGTAACCAAGTGTCTATTGACGGGTATGTACTGTCAGGTCCCTATCGCTAACAGTAGATCACGTTACTGCAGTGTGTAAGAGAGAACTCCCACCTGACAAAAGCTCCCGCCTGTCTCCTTGCCGTGTCGCTAGCGGAGTGTTCCGTAAACCGGGACAGTTTGGACAGGTTGGCGGCTCTAATGGACAGACAATGGTTCCTCATGTGAGGGCCCGCGGGGAGACCATCCTGTTGTGTACGCTAGCAACGGGAACTAAGGGCTTTGTTTTCCCGGGCACGGTTCATTTAGTTAGGGGTGGCGACCCGCGACTTTTTCGGCTCGGTGCGTGCGTTGACCCCCAGCGAGTGCACGCAGGTGATCTGGGTGGAATTTGGAAGGTTTTAGTTGACAAACAAACCACAGTTACGCTGGACGGACTAGGCTATGGAACACACCGCAGCTGCAACGTTGCTAAGTGACAATGCACGTCTTATGATATGCAATAAATTTTGTGGGCCCTGCCGGGTTACAGTTTTGAATTGACAAAATATACGATCAACTGTGGAGAAGTACCATTCAATCTCATCCGCAAATCCATTTAGATTATTATGTGTGTAAATCAGGGATGGATATATCTCCTGGGTCTGGTAACTTAGTAGTACATGTATCTCATTCTCAATGACGTAATGAAAGTGAACCAAAAAGTTCGAAAACACCGACCGATCAACCTGCTGCACTTTTTCAAAGTTCCGCCAGAGGGGACATGTTGCGTTTAGATAAGCTCAAAGCAGATACTAGTTGTTGGCGAGTATCTGTTGGGATATTGTGGCTTGTAGTTTGCACCCTCTACGACATCTTATAAAATAAACGATATTTCTAAGATCTGCTTATTGATTTATCGTAAAAAAAACTCAAGTAACGTTACATGGTACGATACGTTGTTACCAGTTGTGAAGTGCTCACACACTGTTTAAATACACTATATATACTGTTCCCAATCTGCAAAATATAAAACTTCATGGAGAATTGTAGTCTCTACCAGACTCCTTTGCAGGCTGAATAAATAGTAGAAATCGGCAAAGGGGGAAATCATTGGCCAGGGGAGTTGGCCGGCCATAGAGGGTCCAGTTTGCCTGCATTTCTACTATTTATTCAGCCTGCAAAGGAGTATGGTAGAGACTAGGAGAATTGTCGCCTATTACTACTTGGTTATACTTATGGAATACAAGTTTCAGCTATGTGATAAAAAACGTAAATTAGACATGTGCGTGTAATGTAAGATTAATTTTAGTATTGACGGGTACTTCTGTGCTTATGTTTCATGTTTATGTGACACGATAGATCTAATAAAATGTTCATTCATTCATCCAATCATTCATTCATTCATTCATCCATTCATCCATTCATTCATTCACGTTTACGAGAGGCACCTGGTTTGACTTGGCATATAAAGCCTTTGGCATGTTCGCACACCGCGTCGTTCCATTGCAGTGTGTGTGAAGTCCAGTAACAATAAACACAGTCTTCGATGTTGTTCCAGTCATTTGGCTCCCCCGGGCCACGAGTTGTACGTCCCAAGTGGAGTGCCATCTATCCACTCAAACCTTCCCTCCTCGCGCTGATCGTGCAGACCAAACCAGAAATTCGTGCTCACGGACCCGTACAGGGATTTCAGGAAGTTGTTGGTCTCGGCGTCTCGGGGCATGGCGAGGGTGCCGCCGTCTGCACGGCAGGCTGCGGCCGCGTCCGCGAACGACTTGGGTATGTTGAACAACTTGTAGCAGATTCCGCGGAACGTCTTGTAACGGTCTGGACAGGTTACTAGAAAAGACGTTTTCAATCTGTATCTGTTATATGTATCATGATATAGGGATAAGTATACTAGTAACTCATGCATGCTGGTTACATCACCAAAACTCCAATATTTGTGAACATTATAATTTATATGTTTACCTCCTGTCAAATCGGGATGTTGAAAGTGTCCTGATGTAGGACACTCTCCAGGGGGTCCGGGTGGGCCGGGCGGTCCAGGTTTACTGGGGGGTCCAGGTGGACCGGGGGTCCAGGTGGACCGGGGGGTCCAGGTAGACTGGGGGGTCCATGGTCTTTTATTTGGTCTCCTGAAAAGAATTTCGAAGGGCTCAAGAGTAAGCTGACACAGATAGCAGACACGTTTTAAAATAGACACTTGATGTATAATTGACAATCTTAAAAACCATGGAAGCTCTTTCCTTGATTAGTCAATACAAAGCTAAAATCAATGCAAAGCCAAAAATAACTCTACTGGCGAATGGACCTGTTTAAGACTGTACATTTGCAATATGAAACATGAGATACCCCATTTTTGTATCAAAATTCAATTGGAAAGACCCGATATTCAAATTGATATTCAATACTAATACAGATGAACTTTCATGCTATAATATTCAATATCATTAGGACATGTTACTTACGTTTCAGCTCTGTTATCTTGTCCCGTGCTTTAATCTTATCAATCTCCTCTGAGAGAGTGGTGACTTTAACTGCATTAAGAAAGAAAAGTATGCATGGTTGCAAGACTCTGCAAGACTCGCAATACAAGTGCGAAATTTCCACAAAATTATCTACGTTTTTTAACCAATAAATCGCTTACCAGCAAAATATGCCAAAAGTATGCTGATTAGCGCAATGAGCACAGCGCCTGTCGGGAGCAACAGTTTCTTGAAGAGGCGGAAACATTTCGTCCTTATGTCAGCGTCAGCGTCATAGGCATAGTCTATCCGAACAAGAGATGCAAGCAGACATCAGGAAATAAATATTATACAACCCGTAGTAAAACCGACTTCAGTTTGGAAATGTCACAAAGTATTCAGTTTGAATTTTTCAAAACAATTTTCATTCTAGAGGCCTAGCTTTGTCTGTACCTACATTTCATTATGTTGAAAGTCTCTAATGTACCTTTCATATAGTTCCACCGCCCTCTATGTACATTTTCTCTTAATATCAGAGATCGTAATTATGCCGGCGTTTGTTCCCACCCAGTCTCGTTTGTTCAGTTTGGTCGCAGGTATGTTGACCTTTTAGTCGGCATCGATGACTGGTATGCAAACAGATTGGTTTTAAGAACATCTTTCATCGCCTAGACCAATCTCTGCAGCACCATAATAGTACCAAGGACGTTCAACACACGTCCTTGATAGTACGTACAATATAGTGGAGGGAGAAAAACTTACCCGCTCTTGTGACGTACAGGCTGTTGGGTATACGTGCAGCCATGTTTGCAACTGTCTGCCAGTCAGTCTGTGCTTGCTGTGGCTGTACGGGGTTGGTAGCTACATAGGGAAAATTTTACGTACCACGATTATAGCATGTTTAAGCCCAATATCTTACGTTGATATTGAAATTTGTAAATGTCAAAAAAAATGTGTTGGAATCTGATACTGTCTCCAAGCAGGCACTATCCAACCCGCCAGGCGGTATCCAGCTGACCCTGTTGGATACTTGACGGTTTATGAGTGGAATAAGCTTCATTGACACATAATTCCTATTTTGACGAAAAACAAGTGCTTTTTAAAAAAAGCTGGCATTTTGGCGCGCTTTCACGTGCACTGTGACACGCTGTACATCTTACATGATGCCACCCTGCATCTGCTCAGATAACTTTATATATACGCCACTCTACATCTACTTGGAGAAAACGCTGCACATCTGCCACCCTAGACATGAATAGGCCAGGGAGATGTACAGTAGATCTTTTTGATTAAAAAAAGTTTTTGCGGGTGAAAGAGAGTTATTATACATGTATCTTCATTTAAGGCATCACTCGCCCATATAAAGGAAAGAAAGGTTATCAAGGACAATATTAGTTTTTGAATGTTAAAAGAAAAGCAGCAAACGAAGCAATGATTGAAGCACGAAAGCATAGTGATTCCCGTCTCGAAAAAGAGTAATAATAAAACTTATTGACATTCCTGAGTAATTATAAGAACAATTATTTTTGAAATGTTGCACGCAGAGCTACCAAACGAAGTATATATTCGCCGTCAGGGCCAGGCAGCGCCCCTCCAGGACGAACGAACGAAGGAAGGTCCACGAAGGAACGACGCAATGTGAGACCGGCCTTAAAAAAACTTTTAACTTAAAGATTAAAACCATTAAACTTGATTTTTAGTATTATACTATCTCTATCTTTGGAAAAATAAGAAAAAAACTCTTCAGAAGAGCGTAATTTGGAACGTTTTTACGTTCTCTCATTATCTCATTATCGTCTTGCTTGGTTTTGACGTAACAACATAACAGATCGCCGAGTCTACTCAACGGTTATTATACACACTAAACATGTGCGCTAACACTAAAGATTCCAAACAAACCCCCGTTACCCTGTGCGGTGTTCCCGGTCTGTGGCTGCCGCTGGCGTCCAGGCATGGTGACACCTGTCAGGGACTCTACAGCAAGTTATATGCTCCGTGGTCTGACTGTACCCGGGGACTAGAACTGTTCCTACCGTTATTTCACTGGCAGATTGGTATCCAAAGATGAAAGAAATCTGTATTGAATATGTTAATAGTACTTTACACAGCAGACAGAAATTACACTAACATTTGATTGTACGTATTGGTCGATAAAGACCGTTGTAATATCGTTAACACGTGACAGCGTGCATGTGAATGCATGTTGTGTTATTTTTAAATTTTCTGAACAGTACAAAATGTACATGATTTCATGGAGGTTTGGTATCTCTGGATCCTAATTTTTGTTTCGGTTTTAGTCACACACACGAACCAGCAGTACACAACGTGTTGGCTATCTTCAACGCTTATCTGGGAGCAACCATGACAAAAATATTCTCAATGACGTAATGAAAGTGAACCCAAAAGTTCGAAAATACCGACAGGTCAGTCTGCTGTAGCCTATGTAACCCAAGCTCCGGGGGGCTCCCTACATAGTGATTCAGCGTCTCGGCCCCGGAGGAGATTGCTCTGCGGATCGAGCGCGGAGTCCGACGGTGTAGTCGGAGCCCCCGGATGGTCGCCGCAAGTGGCTCTGCCGGGCTGCGGAACAGCCCTACGCCTGCCGGCTGGATGTTGGGCGGCCGGCAAAAGCGATTTAATCAGGCTAAGTCTGCTGTAAGTCAAGTAAGTCAGTCAGTTTGCTGTACTTCTCCAAAGTCCCGCTAGAGGGCGCATGTGGCGTTCGGGTACTAGTAGAGCAGGTGCCAGACACATTGTAATATTGATCAACTTACTGGTGTTACTGACACTGCTTCCCCGCATGTCTGGGCGTGCTAAAATTACGTAACATTTGGTGGCGCTACAGAGGACAATACTCCTTTTAAACAGATGTTTTGCTCAGCCAAGTCAGCCAAGCCCACTACAACTACATTGTACTAGAGAATGGTCATACAAAGGACGCCATACGGTGCCAGCTGGTACCGTCATGTACACTTGAGTAGAGATCAATAACAGACGTTTACATCTGTTCTCATTGTTTCGGTTTCAGTCACCAGCATCACACAGAGTATTGTCTTTCGATGTTTATTTGGGAGCAGTCATAATAATATCTGAGTACATACTGTACAAGGAAGAAATCATATACGTGTGTGTACTTCATTTTAAACATATCGTGAAGAAACTATTTGTGGTAGGTTCCATCATTGACAAACATAGTGAATCACCTTATAAAATCTAAAAATGACACTAACGTGGTTGAATTTATTTCAATATATTTGTTTTTCTTTGTTATTAATGTTCTCCGGCTCTTTTCTTTCATTTTTTTCTTGTTCATTTATTTCACTTGTCTTGTATTTTTGCTATAATACACTATATTATTAAATACAAGATCATGTTGAACATATGCAAAATCATGTATATCTCACGGACATGGATTTACCTATCCCGGATTTATCACTAAAAAGTTATATTATAGATTAAAGCTGAAGCAATGACTAGCTTGCATGTTACAAGCATTGAATTCCCATGAAAAATGCGATGAGAAATTGTTGCTTTTATTGATTGTACCTTGATTGTACATATGACACAACCAATTCCAAAAATGTTGTGTCACCATCCTAATTTTGCAGCATTGTTCTCTCACCACATTTCACAGACGAGCGACCATTGGCACCTTATTATAGGTACATAAACGTGATTCACACCACGTAACTGTTGTTATTCCCAGGTGAGCAAGAATGTACTACGCGTGAGTCATATCATGATCGTAGGCAGGTATTTCCGGTATTTCAAACATTGGGGACAATCCATTTAATCTTCACAAAGTTTCGGCACTTCAGGAAAATTGTTTAAACGAGCAAAAAGAAGACAGAATTTTATTTATGTATTTCTAACCTGATTGGAAATGACAATGGTCCTGATTGTAATAATGAAAGGTGTATGAGTAGCGCAATTCTCACCTCCCCCTGCAACAGTAGTGGTCTGCCCCCCTGCGGTAACCTTTAACCGCCGCCCATCCCAGCTGTTTCGTCAGTTGTTGATACACGCCAACGTCTCCGCGTTTCGTTATTTTTTTTACCCGGCCAAATCGGGAGCATGTCGCCGCTGTGTTGCGTACAGGACCTCGGCAAGTAGCAGAACATCGTCCGGAGAGGGTTGGAGGCCGAGGAAACATGTCGTGGAGTGTGAGACTTGCGGTGGTTTTGGCGGCGTGTTTCTGGACGAGGTGAGAGACAAACAGGAGCGTGTGAAGTACACACATGTCCGTGCGTTTTTGATTTCCTGTAGATATACTGTGAGCACGCGTGCCAAGCACAAGCTACACCGCCCTGGTTTGTCTAGGGAGTGTCTGCTGTTGTTGTCTGATGTAGTTTGACTGCAAGTATGCGAACCCATTCTCACAAAAGTGCGATCGCTTCGCTTGCCCAGGCGATATCAGGAATTTTTTGTAGCCCATTTTTTCAGGCTCGCCAAAGTTACATGAAAATGTCCTCAAGCTTATCAAGCGTTCCACCAACAGCCTACACGGAAGGAAATACTTCTACCCACTTTTAAGCTTGGATATGCCGAGTTTTTGCAGAAAATCGTGACCACAGCTGTTGCATGTTGTGGGTGGAGGTGGAGGTGGGGAGGGGGGCGATATGAGAACATTACCTACCCCTTACTGTTAACTGCATCAGAGCGAGTAATGCATTTGTCACGCTTTTCGGTCCGGGGATCAACTTCAGGCCATTTTGCCATTTGAGAAACCTTGATGCCATTAGAGAAACAAACCCCTGACTGTCTGAGGTCACCATATGTACGCCTTGCCTAACAAAGCTGTACAGATCTGTATATTTTGTTAATTTCACTGGGTTGACCATAAAACGAAAGGAAATGATATTGAGTTGTAAGAATTTCCGTGATGTCAGATTAAAAGAAGGAAACAGGAAAATTATGGTGGTTTACAACCTTGTACTAACAATACGCAATAGTCAAACATCCTGTTGGTACAAGGTAAAGGCTAAAGCTCTTGTGTTCAGCTCAACTTCAGATAAATGTAACATTAAAATTCATACGAATCATACAACCAAGTTCTCACATCCCAATATCATAACTGTTATTTTGTTGATTTCATGGATAGACCATAAAACGAAAAGAAATACATAATTTTGTAGTACTCGGTTTTAATAATCTCAGTGATGTCAGATTAAAAAGGAAACAGGAAAATTATGGTGGTTTACAAGCTTGTACTAACAATAGTCAAACATCCTGTTGGTACAAGGTTATCTCTTGTGTTTAGATCAGCTTCAGTTCAGATAAAGGAGGAACATTTCATCTATCTCACATCCCAATATCATTACTTATTGTAACTTGCTTAGACTACAATTCCCACCCAACCCAAGAACTCTACTACTCTGCCCAATCTTTTTAATTAATTTTGTCCATAAAAGGTATTTACTGATGGAACCAAAATTGTTTGTTTTTCTGGTTTGGCAGCAGGGATTTCCAGTTGGCACATGAGGGAAAACCTCTCACAAGTGGTGGTATTTGCAGATTCCTTTTCCCCAAGAGCCCATCAACTGTCCAAATGTCTGTTGTTTCTTCAGCAGACCACACTGCCAGACCACAGCTGACTTTTGCTGGGGACCGTACAATACAGCAAGGGGAGGGTTTGTCACAGCAGAAAAAAATAGCCCCAATTTTTATTCAAGTTGCTCAAAGTATATTTTCTACTGAATAGCAAAGTTCTTTGATCACAACCATTTATTTTTTATCAGCTGACGTTTCTTGACCACCAATGCATTTCCGAACGTAGTGCAATGACATATGAGTGACGTAGATAAGTGACATATGAACGTAAATATGTCACAATTGCACTACATTCGGAAAATAATGCATTGTTAACAGTAAATACTAGCTGAAGTGCACAGTGAACCAAGTAACACTGCACTGTGAACCATGTAACACCTTTAGTGCACTATGCACCAAGTAACATCTAGCGTCAGTGCACAGTAAACCAGTCAGAATTGCCCTGATGAAGATGACAGACGGTCATTGAAATGTCGGCCCGTGAAAAATAAATGGTTGTGACCAAAGAACTTTGCTATTCATTCGTTTACCAACCTGTTGAAATTATTTACGGGAATATTTTCTACTGCCTAAACTTGTACTCTTAGCACCACTTTGTGCCAAGGCTTCGCTATTTTGTGCCATGATATAGCCTAAATATGTAACACACATTTTGTCTTACACATTAAGTGTAGTGAAGAAAATCATTTAAGTGCCTTTAACAAGGGCACAACATTCAAACCTGCTACGGGACTTGAACCTAGAACCCTTTCCCCATACCACCACTCCCTTGCGAACAATCCCTGGCAAAGGTGTTGCAGAATATGATGGACTGTTTCCAAACCTGACCACGGTCTGCCGGTCTCATTACCCTGTCTCCTGACTCCTGCAGTGAAGTAAATGTCGCACAGGGAAACCTGTTGGCACAAGAATGTCAACAGGTGCAGGTGTAAAATATCATCTATTCTGTGCCCAGTGTCTTTATATACTGCAGATCATGAAATATTCACAAGGTTTTTATGTTCATAGTGTTGGATTACTTGGGGAAATCATACAAGTGTGCTCTGTCTTTCTTTGCGTTACTCATGTTACAGGTTTTTTAACAGTGAACTTGACACTCCTTTTCTACTAGAGGCAGTTAGTGACCTGTCAAATTATAACATATTTCATAGATAAAGATGAAATCTTTTTATGTTCTGTATGACTTGTTGTATTCTAATCTTACTTTTCTATTATTATGTATCATATTCCAATCATAAAAACAAGGGACACTCATTCAATTTTATTCGATCACCGGTCATTCGGTCATTGAATGATGAGTGATTGAGTAAAGAGACTCTTTCTACACAACCAAGTCATTTATTCAGCCAACGTTTTGGTGACCGTCTGTCACCTTCCTCAGGGCAATTCTGACTGGTTCACATTGCACTTCACAGATGATGAGTGATTGTTTCAATGTTGTCTAGTACTACTGTAGAAAGGGGGCATGCAGACAACTCCTTACCCCCTTTTACTGTGAAATTGATTAAAGGAAATTGAGCTGTAATTGTAACGATAAGTTCCATGTGCAAGGTATTAAACTTTGAAAAACTTAATTGGGACATCTAAAGTAGAAATGAACTCTGCGTGGTCTAAGTCTCTGACAAATTTTCCCAGACTGTAACACTAACACTATAACAGTAAAAGGAAGCCCAAACAGGGTGGTCTCTACCTCAGAGAGGAAATATTTGTTCTATTTCGGGTCAAGTTTATCCTTTCCTTCCAGCTAAAGTGATAAACAGCACTTGGAGTCATTAATAGGGATCATTTCCTCCCTTTGGGGATACTTACCACTTGACTTTGAAGATTTATTAGCCCTCCCTTGCAAACCCCGTGGGACATTTTTTTTCCATACCATAACTGTGGTATGCACAGTTTTAATACTAGTAATAGCTTAGGATTGCTGTCCAGATGGGACCTGGAAGGAAAGTTGTAGATTTATATGGTCATGGTAAGGCCTAGGAAAAAAATGTTGTGTTTCCTGTTTCCAGACCGACCCCATGAAAACCTGCTGACCTTAGACTTTTTTGGGGGGGTGGCCCCTGCAAGGGACATAGATACATTTTTGAGCTGATCAACCTTTTCTAGCTCCATGATCTGTCTGACAGACACCTGAGTGATCAAACAATGTACAATTGGTTTTCTAACATTGACATTGAAAATGAAAATGTCCTCATACAAAGCATCAGAATTTTTTTCTCCCATCAGCAAGCTTCTTAACTTGAGTTGTGTTTAAATTATACATAATATGTGTTTGGACTTTGGAGACAGCTTTTAGAACTGTTTATTTTACTTACCGATTCCTTAATGCAGGAACTGTCTACAGTGTCTATTCTCACTCTATCGCTGTTACAGGTTTGATCAGGCCACACCAATTTAATTTCTTGGTTAACAGATTCGCCGCTTCATTTTTTTCAGATTTGCAAATAAAAATAAAAATCCAGAATCAACTGCAAAATGCTCATATTTTGCCCTGAACAGTTGAAAACAGACCTTTTCATCCTAGTTGTTACAGTTATTCCATCTTTCAATGCAATGGTATCATTAAAAGTTCAAAATTCATTGTTTAACTTTTGAACCAGCCTGGTGTGTTGACTTCATGGCTCCTATCGTACCATTTTGGGCCATAATACGATGCCTAGGCCTGTTTTTATTTTTATTTTTTTTTCGCCCGCCCGCTCCATTATTTTTCTAGAAAAATCCGTTAACCAAGAAATTAAATTGGTGTGGCCTCAGTATCATAATTGTTTTGCAGCTTCCTCAGATACTTGTCATAATTTTGGCACGCTGTGAATGCTATGCTGTATACACATTTCCCAAATACTACATGTCTGCCCTTTGGTGTAAGAAGGGCTAAATGCCAAGATGTCACAAACTGTTATCTTTTCTGTACCCTCAGCGCCGGAGTATAATGTGTTCCAACATTGTCGCATGCCAACTTTGATGTTGACCTGTAAAAGAAAAACAGAGACGTATAGCAACAACCTGTCAAAATCTGTTACAGAGTAAAGTGATGGTTACCATGTACCAAAAACAGTTCCATGGGGAATGTGGAGCTTGTTCCCAGAAGTCTTATCTTACCAGTGGTAATGGTGCTTGCCATTGACGTGCTAGCTTTACTCTCCAGGCCTCATTGAACAGAACAAGAGTTGTTCTAAACTTGCTGTAGGTTGAGATTTTTCAGGTTCAAGGACAGGACATGTATGATTATCGATATGGTCAAAGCAGCTGCTGTACTCTTATCAAAGATAAACACATAATTCAGCTGCTGCAAGTGGATTGAAGGCCAAATTTCGCATACTTGAGCCCAACTGCAAGGTCAAAGACAGGCACGAACTCCTGCTGTTAGTCTAGAATATGAACATATTTGGGTTCTGCCCAAGACTGGAAGAGACTGGGGGGCATGTAAGGGTCAGGGAGCAGTTGTTACTCTGAGCTCAGGTATCAGGGTAATGCCTGTCAAAGCCTGCCTCAGAGATCCTTTAAAAGCTTTGGACTGTACTGGCTTTTTGGAAGGCTTGTACATGGGATGGGAGGGATATTGTTAGGGAGAGTTGCTAGGATAACTTAGAAAATATTATTTTGCATGGACTGCCTTTGTGCAAAACCAACAATCTCAGATTACAAATGATGAAAGATGAAAGAAAATCGCCGATGCTTTTACATAACCCTTATACTGGAAATATACTTACTGCTTATGCTTCTTTTATCATATTGTACGGTAGAGCTATTACTTAAGCCCAGTTATATGGATCCTCAGTCATACAGGGAAAGCAACATTGTACCTATGTTGTATCAACATAGGTACAATGTTGGTACAGCATAAACAAGTCTGGTTGTTTGAGCTTGAAGTTGAACCTTTCTTTTTCCTTTGGCTTGAAAGTTGAATTGTAATAAATAAAATGTACTGGTAAGCATTTAACGTACCTATATGTGTAAGGTAAGACACAAGATACTAGTATATCATTTAACATTACACTGTACCAGAATGGAAACTGTATATCATAAATCATCACCCTTCCCATTCTTATTGGCAATTTTCAGTGTAGCCGTTAGCATGTAACCATGAATGTGGTGGTAGACTACAGGTATACCAGTCCTGTTTACCCCATGTGTATGCTTGTGTTGCAGGTTTGATGTGTTGCAGTGTCAGTCCATAGACACCTGTGTCTCTCACAACTGTACTAACGGTGCCACATGTGTCAGCAACAACTCCACCTCGAACTACACGTGCTTATGTCCTGAAGGTAAGAAATAGGCATTGTATACTCGTATTCAAGTGAAGTGCTCACTGTCTATTGATAGTAACGTATCATTACTGGTGTCTTCTTCATTTGCAGACAGTGAAAAACCACATGCCGAGCGCAAGTGTAACAATACCTACTGGTGTTGATGCAACTTTACGTCATTCAGAAAAAAAAGAAAAATTTAAAAATGGATGTGTACACTATACAAATCTGTAGCAATATTGTTGTATCAATAACTAGATGCTGTTGTGTCCAATGTGTCTATAAACATCTATCCCATTGTCATTTGATCCATCTGCAAAAAAGATGTGCAGCCAATCATACTGTATTGTACTTTCCTCAATGTTTATTCAGGCTATACAGGAGACTTCTGCGAGACCACAGACTATTGTGGCAGCAGACCATGTTATAACAACGGCAGCTGTGTGAACCAGCCGGGTGGTTACAGCTGCAGCTGTCCCTCTGGCTACCTGGGGCAGAACTGTGAGGCAGCTGTCAGCCGCTGTGCTACGGACAGCCCCTGTCAGAATGGAGCTGTGTGTCAAGATTCGGCACAAGGTCAGTTTATTCTGACACCCAGGCTACTCTAATTTATGATTTAAAAGAAAAAAAAAATATTTATACAATTACACATACAATGAGTTGGTTTAGATCTATAATAATAATTATGAAATTCTGCCAGAAATCATTTTACAGTATGCCAGTATGCCTTGTATAAAAGCCCTTGACCATTCATTACTGTAAGATAAGTCAGGAAGATCTTTTGATAATGGGTGGACTGGAGTGCAATGTTGATGTTTACTGCTAGGTGGCTACCAGTGCTTCTGCAAGCAGGGCTACTCAGGAGAAAACTGTTCGCGAGAGGTTGATGAGTGTATCCTACGGAATCCCTGTGGCGACAATGAAACCTGCCACGATCTTGTCAACGATTATGTCTGTCAGTGTCCAATAGGTGAGACCTCTTACTTCTGACTTTGCCATTATGTAATTTAGCAGTGAGTAATGATATCTTTAGTCACAAAAATGTTTCTTTGCCAGTCTTAAGAGTTATACAATGAATTGCTGGTTTAACTGAAGGAAGGTCACAAGTACTAGCCTCAGCCCTCTCCTTGCTCAAATCAATTTTTGCTCCTAAAAATATTGATCAAAGCAAAATTATAGCATAAGATCACAGCAGAATGTTGGTCCTTTGGTTACATTTCATCCAACTCTGATTGAATTTGTCACAGGTACCAATGACACCAGCAGCTGTGAAACCGACCCTTGCACCTGGAACAGGTGTGAGAATGGTGCCACCTGCGCCGGTGCAGGTGAGAACTACACATGTGCGTGTGCGGAGGGGTTCCAGGGAGCCCTCTGTGAGGTGAACATTGATGACTGCACCAACACCAGCTGTCAGCAGTATGAAGTCTGCACTGATCTGGTAGCAAATTACAGGTGAGTTAGCAGTGTTTCCATCTAATCATCACTTTTACCTCACAGGCCTAGAGATACTGGGGCAGTCTGGGTGCATATGCACAGCACTTTGGCAGAACGTACTGCACCTGCGCAAAACCCGTAATGTATTGTGCATGGCACTTCAGAAGAATATCTCATATAAGGTCGTACTCGCATATACAGTATAAGGTTAACATCCCGTCTGTAGTTTCCAAATATTGTGTAGGAAAATATATCTTCTGCAACAGGCAAAATTCTGATGCAACATTGACCAAAAATCCAACGAAAACTGTGAAAAATCAGGGTTTTGCGCAAAAATATTTTGCTGATTTTTGCATTATCTCTATTTTATGTTGTGCACACAATGTTTTTCTGTGCACATAATTTTACGCTATTCCCCAAAATGAATTCCAGCCCTGACATGAAGTGTACTGACACCCCTCCCCTGTGTTTCTAGCTGCTCCTGTCCTCCTGGTAAGACTGGTGCTCAGTGTGAGGTTGACCTGGATTCCTGCTGGAACGACCCATGTATGAACGGGGGTGTCTGCTCGCCTGTTGCCTCAGCACAGTATGGGACAAATTACACATGCAACTGTACAGCAGGATTCATAGGTGAGTTAACTGTATCTTTAGAGAGATTTTTTTCTGAATACCAATCTTTCATTAGATAGATAATATTTCAGTAGATAAGAAAGTGTGCCGTTATACATTTATTAAGTCATGACTTTGTATGAAATGCCACAAAAGAATGATAGATTTTGTTCTTCTTCCCTTTCAGGTGCAAACTGTGAAGGTGACATTAAAGAGTGCCTGTCCTCCCCTTGCCAGAATAATGGGACGTGCCAGGAGGTCACAGGGCAGGCGGGCTTCACCTGTCAGTGCCCTGCTGGTTACCATGGCAACCTCTGTGAGACCCCGCCCAGTGCAGTAAACTGCAGTGTTCTGGACCCATGTGAAAACAATGGGACATGTGTGGACACAGCACAAGGTAGGAAGGGTTTAACTTTTAGATAGTCTCTGGTATGATATTAGCACTTACCAGTATGTCAAACTTGCCACATTGACTTAAGAGTTATCCTCTCATTTTATTAAAAAGATAGGCATAGTGACTCACAGTTCACCAAGTTTTACATGAAGAAAGTTTTTCTTCTTATGTAATCTGCTGTATCAATCACAAAAGTTTTACACTAAATTAGTAAATACACACATGTTCACTTTCTCATGCCAAAGGTGTTTGCTCTTTCTGTAGGTACCAACTGCACCTGTACTTCAGGGTGGGAGGGGGGCACTTGTCAGATTGATGTAGACGAGTGTACATCCTCACCCTGTCTACACAACGGCCACTGTGAAAACCTTCCCAGGACATACCGTTGCTTGTGTCCCCTAGAGTGGACTGGCCAGAACTGCCAAGAAGACGTCCTGGAGTGTGCCTCGAGCCCCTGCCAGAATAATGGAACGTGCCATGAAGGGGTAGGGACGACGTACAACTGCAGCTGTGGGGAAGGGTTTTCAGGACAAAACTGTGAAGTGGTCGGTAACGCTACTGCAGAGTGTAGCTCCTCTCCATGTTTGAACAATGGTACGTGTGTGGAAAACGGAGCAGATATGTACACATGTAACTGTACAGACGGATTCTCAGGGCAAAACTGTGGGATCCCACTGAATGTGTCTGGTGTTTGCACACCAAATCCTTGTATGAACAATGGTACATGTCTGAAAAACGGTACTGAAATGTACACATGTGAGTGTACAGAAGGGTTCTCAGGGCAAAACTGTGAGAGTCCTCAGAATGTGTCTACAGTGTGCACACCAAATCCTTGTATGAACAATGGTACATGTCTTGAAAATGGTACTGAAACGTACATATGTGACTGTGCTGAAGGGTTCATGGGACAAAACTGTGAGAGTCTGCAGAATGTCTCTACAGTGTGCACACCAAATCCTTGTATGAACAATGGTACATGTCTGGAAAATGGTACTGAAATGTACACATGTAACTGTACAGAAGGGTTCTCAGGGCAAAACTGTGAGACTCCTCAGAATGTGTCTATGGTGTGTGCATCAAGTCCATGTGAGAACAATGGCACCTGTATGGAGAATGGCACCTCCACGTACATCTGTAACTGTACTGAAGGGTATGAAGGAACAAACTGTGAGTTGGTGAATGAGTGCCTGTTGTACCAACCCTGCCAAAATGAGGGAACGTGTGAAGATCAAGCGAATGGATACAACTGTACCTGCACTGCCGGTTTCCAAGGTCAGTTATTCTTTTTACTGGTATTTTGAGAGTTCCTGTGACTTGCTATGTATAGTTGTTGCTCCTTTTTTTTTAGGCTTCAAGTTTTCTTACAATGCTTTTCTTCACCTCACACAGGTGTGAATTGTGAAACACCTGTTGCCACCTGCAATGCCAGTCTGTGTCAAAACAACGGCACCTGCAACGGATCAGCTACAAACTTCACCTGCATCTGTCCAGAGGGTTTCTCGGGTACATACTGCTCAGAGAAAGTTCAATTCTGCGCTAGCCAGCCGTGCAGGAACAACGCCACTTGTAACGAATCTGATGCCGGTTTTACTTGTGCTTGCCCTGAAGGGTATACAGGGTTGCAGTGTGAGGACATTATAGACATGTGTGATACGAACCCATGTGAAAACAACACAAGCATTAACTGTACAAGTATCTTCCCAGCTGACTATACCTGTACATGTATCCCGGGTTATACGGGCAAAAATTGCAGTGAGGAGATCGATGAGTGTGACAGTCAACCATGTATGAATAACGCGACATGCCAGGACATGGTCGGTGGTTACACGTGCGACTGCCCTGAAGGTTACAATGGCACAAACTGTGGAGAAGTCCTGAGTATGTGTGGGCTAGACCCATGTAATGAGAACACAACTCTCAACTGCACTGATATCTCCCCAGGAGATTACAACTGCTCTTGTCTGCCTGGCTATACCGGTAAAAACTGTACTATCAATATCGATGACTGTAACAGTCAGTCTTGCCAGAATGGAGGAACCTGTATAGATGGTGTGGACTCCTTCTCTTGCCAGTGTGCGGATGGTTACCTAGGGGATACATGTGAGATAGCGGATCTGTGCTTCACACAGCCGTGTCAGAGTGGTGGAAACTGTACGCTAAGTCAGGACTATCAAAACTACACCTGCTCTTGTACTGAACAGTACTTTGGAACAAACTGTAGCCTGTACAACTCCTGCCACAACGTGACGTGCCAGAATAATGCAACCTGTAACATTACCGGTACAGGGTTTTCGTGTGATTGTTTGCCCGGTTATGTGGGAGAGTTGTGTGCTGTGTATGACTACTGCTTGGCGCAGCCCTGCGTACATGGAACGTGTCAACTCCTACCGAACAGTTACACCTGCAGCTGTGATCCAGGCTACGAGGGGACAAACTGTGAAGACGACATCGATGATTGTGCATCCAACCCTTGCGAAAATGGAGCAACCTGCGTTGAGAGTGGTAGCGACCCAAGCGGGCTCTTCTACCTTGGGTACAACTGCACCTGTGCGCCCGGCTTTGTCGGCAGCAACTGTGAAAACGAAACTGATGAGTGTAGTAGCAATCCTTGCATCAATGGTGGTAGCTGTAATGATCTCGTTAACGGTTACAACTGTAGCTGCTTGCCAGGTTTTGAAGGCAATACCTGTGAATTGGACAGAAGAGGGTGTGATTCTGGTCCGTGCTTCAATGGCGCCACTTGTGAAGAAGCACTCGGTACATACAACTGTCTCTGTCCTTTCGGTTTTAATGGGACTTTGTGTGAAAACAACATCGACGACTGCAGGCCCAACCCTTGCCTGAATGGGGGCGTCTGTACAGACCTAGTTAATGACTTCAACTGCACGTGTCCTGAAGGGTTCAGCGGACGGGGTTGTCAGGACACCATCAACTCCTGCTCGCAGTCTCCCTGCCAAAATGGAGGAACGTGCCACTACATGGGAGCATGTATGTGTGAGGATCCCAACTACCAGCCGCCAGAAGTGATCGCCTGTGGAGAGCACAACGAAACATGCCAAAGAATAGCGTGCGAAAACGAGCCACTGAATACCTGTGAAGTAAGAACTACCTCGTACGAGTGTCAGTGTGCGTCGGGCTATGAAGGTAGTGACTGTGAGGTAGAGACAGATGAATGTAGTTCCAATCCTTGCCAAAACAACGGCACGTGTTCAGACTTGTTAGATGCCTTCTCCTGTAACTGTAACAGAACAGGGTACACTGGAGAGATGTGTACTGTGGATGTGGATGAGTGTGCAGTTGCAGGAACGTGTGAAAACGGAGCCACCTGCTCCAACTTTGCAGGTGGTTTCAGCTGCCAGTGCCCTGTAGGATATGAAGGTAAGTTACCTTGTTACCAAAAACCTTGTTAACAAAAAAACTTTATACGTTTGTACATATACAATGGAAAGTATGATTGTATCAATTGTATTAAGTTAAACTGCACTGCACTATCAGCTGTCAAACAAGCATTACCGGTACTGTTCTTTCAAGCATTACACTTCAAGTGCAACCAAAGAGAAACAGAGAGAATTTTTGAGGGTAAAACTTTCCTTTCCCTTCGTTCGAATTCTTTTCTTCAGGTAGCACATGTGCAGATCTAGAAGAGAGCCCAGGTCCAGCTGCCAATGCCACCAACCCCTTTGTTTATATAGGTAAGGAACTTCTGACCTCAGTCCCTCTTTCAACATAAACAGAGAATATTGAATACCAGTAACATTTAGAATTCTTGTTTTCTATCAGTAGAGAAAAAAGATGTACTTATCTTTCACTTCCAGTTGTCTCTGAATCAGTTTTCTAAATTTGTATAATTGTTGCAAAGCTCTCCTGATGAGTATAATAATAACAAAGCAGAATGCTTATTTAGAACTATAGCCGTCAAAACAGCCAGACTTGAGATAATTTTTTTTCATTTATAATAAATTGTGCTTGTACTCTCTGCATACTTTCTCCTGTATTGCTTATATTCTTTGTGGTGCACTTGGTGGTCAATTTGGTGTCTTTTTTCTCCTCTTCCCAGTTATTGCAGAGCAACTCCATTTCCTTTCCCTCTTTCTGATGATAGGTTGGTACCCTGGGCCCACAACTTTCCTACTCCCTTGAATCGATTTGATTTGATTTATTAGACTGTATAAGCAGATATTTACAGCCACTCTCCATACCTGCATGCCATTCTTGCATAGCCTGGATGCCAGACTGTTTCCTAGGCCTACATTGGTCTGCTCCTCAGATCTAGAACATGTACTGCCAACATATCCTCAAGGAAAGTAGACCCAGTCAGCAGTCTGGCATCCAGGCTATTTTTGCATGTCTCTACATTTCAAAGCCTGTCATGAACTGATCTGTTATTCTTCTTAGCAAAAGTTTGATCTTACTGCATGTCCTTATACATTTGTACAGAATATTCTACGTGTATCAGGTTCACAAAAACATCTAGTCCTAATAGCATGCATAAAGGTAGGGCATTGATCTTCTAATCATTAAGAGTATGAAGAACTTAATAATTGTTATCTTGCAGGGATTCCCATCATCCTGGTTCTGGTGATTGTTGTTGCTGCGACCATCTACGGGTGCCGGTACGCCCGTAAGGTCCGCCGCATGAAGGGGAAGTACAACCCTGCCGCGGCGGAGATGGAGGTAGGGACACCTCTGGAGATGCTGGACCAGGACACAGAGGAGAGACTTATATAGTTACACAGGAGGAGAGACTTGTACACAACCTGCCGTACGTTTTTTTGGAGGCCACGTTTTTCTGAAAATGTACAGGGCTGTACAGGGCATGTGCGTCCCCCGTACTGGCTGTTTCTGCATGGACGTAAATGCTACGGCGTGTCTGCGTGCTCCCAAATCTGTTGGATTCCGTACGGAGGCGGAACTCAACACTTACGGATCCCAAAATTTGCCAACGATTTTTCAAGAAGACAGCACACAACACTGCGGGTGCACAATTGTGACCCTTGCTTTTTACTCCTGTCAAAGACTGTTCTAATGTCAGGTGAAGGGTTATAGGGGTAGGTAGATAAAGGTGTATAGGGATGGGAAGTGTATTGAATTGACAACTTCTGTTGTCTGTGTGCAGCTTCAGCTCTGTTTTAAGTTATAGAAAGTCATTAGGTATACAGGGACATTGCTGTAAAGCAAGATGCTTCAGAAGTAGTATTTTATTTTACTCACTTTATGTTCTCAAACATATAACGGTCAAGCTATTTAAAAGTAGGAGGAACAGATGTGATGACAGAACATCTCGGTAAAGACTCCAAAGTGCAATTTATACATATTTTTGAAGAAGCTGTTATTTATTCAAGGGAAAGGCTGTTGCTCATCTTATGTAGAGGTGGTTTAGGGAATTCTTTTTCAAAGAATCACTCAGAAAGATGCTATTTTTGTACATATCCAAAATGCCTGAGTGGTGAGAGTTAGGGAATGCTAGCTATTTTATTTGACTTTGACAGCTGGAGCATCTGGTATGGCCATGGAGACCCCCACTGTTAAGCGGGTGTACCACATGGGGAAACCACATTTCAGAGTCATGTAGGGGTCATGACCCTGGGGCACAGTGGCCAACTGACTTGTCAGTCTTCAAGTCTTGGTTCCTTAAACAAGCTGCGGTCACACTGTCAATGACCTTCAGACAAATTTCTTGATTGCCAGAAGGTCACTGAAATTCAAAGTCATCAGAATCAAGCATATTTTTACCTGAAAATGTACCCTATCACATTGGATGGAGCTTCCTATGGACATTAGGTGGTCCCTAAGAGTGGTTCAGTGATTATTTGGGTAAAAAATGCCCTTTTGAGCACAAGTTTATCAGGCAAATGATTTTCCTGCTGTGTGATGCAAGCTTTGTGATCAAAAGATCTCACCAGAATGAGTCATAATCATTTGTAAGGCACAATAAGGAGCGTATATTGCAACTCTCTCAAGAGTTTCCAATTTCATTGGAGTATCAAAACCAAATACTAGTAATTCTTTGAATATTTTTATCGGTGAATGGTAATGTATGATGTTGAAAACAGGATGTTATGGTGTGGGAGGTGTCATCATAGCCTGTTGCTGGCTGCAGAGAATTTTAACATATCTAACATGTTGCAGATAGTGTTAACATGTGCCGGGGTGTACTCCCCACTGGTGAGAGGTATATACCAGATGTATCTGGTACGCATGACGAGATGCTAGCATGTAAGTCATGACGTTATGTTGTATATATTGTACATAAGAGTCTGAATATTTTTCCTGAGAAGGACCAAAGGTTTTTTCCTCTATTTTGTAATTGTAGCTGTATAGTAGTGTAGAGATTGTTGTTACATGTGTTCTTCATTATACTATAAGTTACAAAGTTATATGATAAGGTTTTGTAGAAAGTGAGCTGACGGTTAGAAAAAAGAGCAAGATCTCGTGCCATCCAAAGATTTTGTAATTTTGTATACAAGTTTTTCTATGAAGAATGTATCAAACTTGGAATCCTCCGTAGAATTTCTCACTGGATTTAAATCACTTGTTGTGATTTAAGAAACATTGTCCGAACAGGGCAATTTTTGTGTCAAGTTTGGCTTAACGGTGAAATACTTGGAGCTCTAAAAAGATGTCAAATTGAGACACATTATTCAGCAAGAATCTTTTCTACATTGGGACCTTTCAATTGCTTTTTATTTTTGTTAAATGGCAGACGTCACTTGTGTAAAATTTTACACATTGACAAAATACACAAGATGCTAGAAGTGATTGACAGCTGTCCATCACAGCAAATATTTTCTACATATCTTGCCTGAAGGGTTATGGATCATGTGTACTAAAAATATGTGCATCCATGACTTCTACATTTAGCACTAATGGGGGGCAATCCAGGCATTAGCACTCAACAGCCCCATAAACACATGTCATTTGAAACATTCTGTACATACCAATGTGCTTTGATAATGTCTCTACAGGATGTACACAACAGAGTGCAGCTGTTTTGTACCAGTATTCAATTTCATTTTTAAAAAAGACAAAATCATTGTGTTCTGAAAAGCAATACTGTGTCTTTATTCACTTCCTAGATATAATGTACATACTACTGGGTGCCAAAGAAGCTGATATTTGACAATACGCAAGTCAGAGCTAAAGAGAAACATGTATTTGTCATTATATATTCCAGTGTTCGTACATATCAGTTCAGTTCTGTAACTTTTCGTTTATTCTTTTGTACTAAATCAGGAGAATAAACCAAGACATTGTCTAAAGTCTACCCAAGTTCTCTTCGTTATTCAACAATACCGGTACATGTGATATAAAGCAGATAGAGACTGGTTCTCCAGGAACTTCTGCCTTGCTGCAGTTCGAAGTAAATTTGCTAGGTGGTACAAAACTACATGGTTCACCCTGAACCAAGGAGGTTAAATACTTGCCTGAACTTATTATTACAACATTTCAATAATGTTACAGTTTCAATAGTGATGCCATCAACCTCACCAATATTGTAATTTGTTGCCCCTTGCCAGTGATGATGTTAACTTCACTGACAGTGAAATGTTTAACATTGGCATATTTTACTTTTAGTAATAAGGTACTGTCTGATGATGCAGGAAAGACTAGCCTGTCTTGACAGTAGCAGTGGAGGGATGTTTCCTGAAATACTCCTCATAATCATACTCCTTATGTGGCACTGTGAAGGGGAGGAGGCCTGTAGTAAAAGAAAAATAGATACAACTTTCATTTAGCTCCATTGTATCTATGTTGCCAGGACATGTACAGATAAACTGTAGATGTTGGTAAACTGAAACTAACTGAAGTTAGGGTCCTTATCAAGTATGATGGACGAATTAGGTAACAGATTTGTCCCAAGAAATGAGACCAACTGAAAATGTAGGTACATGTGTATCACAATAAGCAGGTCGATGGATCCCACTGTGTATGCACTGTGGCATATGTAAAGTTGAAAGCTCCTGTGACATGTCTGTACATGTATCAAGCATGGTCAAGTTAGGGTCCTTTACCTTTGATCTAGTGCATGTTCAGTTGGAACCATGAAGCTGCTTATTACTTTGTGCAAGGAGATTCCTTGCTGTATTCTACAGTGCATGAGTTAAATACAGGTAAATCATACTGGCCAACATACTGTTGGAGAAGCCCTTACCATGGTCTCTAGCCTTTTCAATTTCTCGAACCAACCGTTTGTGCTTCTTCCGGCAAACACCTGAAAATTAAGATGATGAAAAAATATGAATCTGTCTGAGAATACAAGATCAAAGGCTGGTAGTAAGGATATAGTATGTTGACAGTTTTTAAAAAGTGAAAGACCTACCTGTTCTGAGAACATTGTGAAGTTCTCCAGTATGAGGACAGATGAAGTGCTGTAGAAGCTTGACATTCTGGAACACAACAGAACAGGTTAGTCAGCACTCCTAAGAACACAGATGGTATAATTACTGCATTAAGATGTGCTGTGTGTGTATACCTTTTTACCAATACAACATAAGTCAGTAGCAAATCATAAGAAAATTAGTTCATTGTTTCCAGGAATGAAAAGATTTTCCAAACCAAATAACATTTTATGACTTTATGATAATGTCCATATATGAGACCCGTATGAGTTGTACATACCCTGTAGTCTATGACTAGGTTCTGATCCCTACAGATAGGACAGGGGTTCCCAGTGGATATCCTCCCTCCTCTCTGCAATGGAAATATTGATACAGAACTTTATGAAATACATTTGTAGTTGAAAGTCTAAAGACTAAACAAAACACATTGCTGAATAATGGCTTGTGTTTTTGTTTGCGCTTTTTGTTTTCCTTTTTACGAATTACAACAGATGTTATTTACAACTTAGAAATTTACAACTTGTACACAATGAGGATAACTCACAATGCATGTTCTCCGAGTTTTCTGGGGTGGCACACTTCCTTTGTGGTTCCGTACATAGTCCCACCAGACTTCCTTATCCTTGTAACGCTCAGCAAATTCTGTAAGTAAATCATAACTTATCATATAAACTTGTAACTGTTGAAGGTAAAAAAATATGATATATGATAATAAATAATCAATATTTATTGCTTGGCATATGCAAATTTTGGCAAACATTTCACCTCTTTGGAAAATGTAGTTTCTTGTCTAGATTGCTACATGGAAGAAACCCAATGCTACTACAGTGCAGTAGTATTGGGACATAACTATTTACCTGATGACTGCAGATATCTGACACTCTCCTCCCAGGTTACCACGGGAAGTTTTGACTCCTTTGATCCTCCTTCATCATGCTGTTCCTCAGCCTCACACATTACTACTCGTGTTCTGGACAGGCCCCTTGTCTGTTGTAGGCAGACTGAAGTGGTCCATCGAGCCTGGAGCTACACATCCATAAATCATGAAAAATAGTTTTAGAGAGACAGAAATCTGTGGTATGTCGTAGATGTGGAAAATAAGAATCTCATATATTCCGAGTGCAGTACTTTAAAAAAATAATTTGCTATACCGAAGTTATGCTTGGTGAAAGTGGATTTAGCAACAAAAGCTGTCTTCGGTGGACATTGGCGGCCCCTAAAAGATGTGATCTTTCCTTACCTGCGTCGTTAGCTTTCTCTGTTGAGAAACTGCTTGCCAAAGCGGGTAAACTCTTCGTGAAAGTTGGGTGGCCGCAAGTCTGATGGGCGCAGCCATCTTGGAAAAAAAATATCACTCCTTGCTCTCGTCTTTTCTCGTAAATTTCTGCAAAATCTCGCTGTAAAAGTCACGTGACATTACCCGCGCTTTGAGTCACGTGGTCCTGGTCATGTGACTATGATGTCATAGAGAATTTGGAGAAGAAAGGTAGGTGGAGGTCGCCATTCTTTGTGCTTTTCGAATTTGTCGTTTTTCCCTTGATTTTTGCGCTACAGCCCTTCGTTAGGTTAATCCTACCGTCGTAAGTTGTTCCGTATAGCATTGAGTATCTTTTGTGTGTGTTTTTGTCCGCAGATGGGGTGGATTCTTGAAGAAAACTTGAGTTTTTTCAAGAGGATGTGTCTTGGTCCACACCCCAGGGTTTGAACAACATGGCGACGTTTGTTCTCTGAGAAGAAGACATACAACTCAGATGCGTACGTTGATCGGAGATTTTCACCCCCGAGAGAAGAAAATTATTTCCTCTTATTCTTTTCTATACACCTCTCATATAGTCTTGAGCAATATTTGATACATTTGGTTGACGTTTCTGGGCGATTCACGTGGAAGAGAGCCAGTAAGGCCGGAAGGTATTGTACTCGTGATGTGCCGTCATCACTGAATAATTTTTTTATCGCATATAATGTTATCTATGTGAAGCTCACACCCGCATAAAAATAAAAATCCAGCTATAAGTACTGATAAATGATATCAAAAAGGATTAAACATAAAAGTAAAAAAGGTGAAAAAATTGCAGTCAGTTTGAATGACTGATCTGAGCACGCCTTGCAGCAGTAGTTACGCACTGGGAAGGTCATAAGCATGGGGACGTATTTATGAGCCCCATGCCTCAGGTAGATAGCGGTAGGAGAAACCATGTGGCAATGGTAAAACTGTTCAGTGGTGCCAGTGAATCAAAAATAGATCTGATGTAATGGAAACCAGCCCTATAAAAATTCATAGGTCGTGGGCAGACAATACTCGTGCACTCCCAGCACTAGTGACCGAGGATGGTTGCCAGTGTTAGGGACATATCCATAGGCAGGTTTGGAAATGGACAATTTTAATGGCTTGTGTGACAAAATTTTTGGGTAGATTATTCTAAAGAATGTTAGACTAGAAACTGGGACAAGCCATAGGTATGAAAAGGGATTTGGAAAAGGGTTTTTATTTTTTGTATCTTGTGTGGAAAAAAGACTACAAACTCACAAGCATTCGAAATGTCGACAAACTGGTTGAACAGGGTTATCCTAACTGTCAATTTGAAGAAATGGCTGTGCTAACTACAGTAAAGGTGACTAAGTCAACCACCGCCATCACAAAACAAAAGTACCCCCAAAAAATTAACCTTTAGCACACTGAAGTGGGCACCAGTTCTTCACTGTTTAGAGTTAGACAGAGGTTACATTCAGAGAAAAAAAGCTATGAAGGATATTGTGTACTTAGTGATTTTAATCATAAAATTGCTGACTCCAATTTCTGATATTTACCCCTTGTAATCTGTAATTAATGTTGGTAACTAACAAAAAAGGCCTAGGCAGTGGGCAGTCATTAGCAAAAGGTAAATTGCCAAGTGTATTTATCTGCTACATGTATAAATACACATGTAAACATAACCAAACAGCTGAAGGGTAACTTCAATGAAATTCTATAGATTCAAAAACCTATTTCCATTTTGTCACTTGATGATCCCTAGCTTTTCAAAGTATCTTGCTTAGAGTAGTCCAGGTATGAATCAGTTTGCTTTGCGAAAATGGTAGGTTGTCTGCTGCATACTAAGTAGCCCCACCCTCCATGCCCACCATCAGTCATACCCTTGCCATATATGGAGGTAGCTAGTTAGAATTTGCATAAGAAAGGCATGACATCATGAGGGCTGTACATAAAGCCCAGTCAGTAGGCAGCAAATGAAAGGTGTGGATCACTAATTGAATTAAATGATTTCAGGTCATCCAGAAATTCTCTTGCAATTATGTGTGGTAGGAAAACATTGAGCTTAATGCTAGGAAAGTTGCTAAGATTGAAGGTGCCTATAGTTTATAGGTGTATTGGCTGTCATTGGCATTGGTCCTTTAAGTTAGGAAGTGAAAATTTGGTATGCTATACATTTTCAACTCAGCAATGGGGCAGGTTAACATGACCATGTGCATGGAATATCATCAGCCTACCTAGCTGGAAAGAAGGATTGTGCATGTAGTATTAAATCTCATGGTAGAAAGGTAGCAGGAATGTAGCAAAGCTTTTTTTAGCTCTTTCAAAGGTTGTGAGAGAAAGGAAGTGTATGTCTGTCATTTTCAAATTGTGTTAAAGCCTGAGGGAAGAAATTTTAATATAAAATGTGTTTCATAATCTCATGTGTTTTGAAAGTGCAACACTAGGCTAGCCCGTAAACAAACTCAGAAAATATGAAGTTTTATTAAATGAACTGCAGGCATCATACACCATTAGCAATAGGAGAAACCAATGGCAGGAGTTCTGAGTGTATGACAAGGGTTATGTTTTGATTGGTAGTCCTTGAGCCAAGGACAGTATTGTACTAGTACTTGTTGTACTAGTACAATGTACCAAAGGGCATGGTGGAAAGCTGTAAAACTTGATTGTCAGTCATGCTACAATAGAACAAAGTCTAGTTGAATCCAAGAAGAAAGAGTAGGGCTATGTGAAAGACTGAATGGATTTACGTTGAAGAAAACTTTATGAGATATGTCAAACTGTAGGGCTGTTTGGTGAAATTGTATGTCAGTTTACAAGGTATTTAGAGAGGAACAAGCATTTGTTACCAGAACTTATGATACCATATTTGCCCACCCCCCCAAGTAATTAGTAGAAATGATACTCCCCCCCAATATACTGTAGTCATTTCCTGACCAAATTCAACTTTGGCTGTTGTGTCTCATTTTTGAAGTTAGCAGGAGCTGAAATGCCCAGAGTAATGAAGTCATCCTGAACTGATTTGATGGATATGAAGCATGGTGGTTTTTCAGGTAGCTAGTGGTGATGCAATGCAGCTTTTCTGGCAGATACACAACTCATAAGGTTATACATTCAGAATGAAAATACCAGGTTAGGTTTTGATTCAAGGTTGTTATGTTAGGCAGAGATTTCTGGTGAATTTTGCCATGTCTACGATTGGGAAAAGTTCTATTGTTCATTAGCTTTGTCTTGGAATTTTGGAATCTTGTAAAGGATAAAGATTTGTTTGGTCACTATATGTACAAAGTTCATGCAAGCTGTTGTCCAGAAAGGCAGAAGGTATACATGTAAGTTCTGTTCTTGGCACAAACATCTAGATGTTGACTGGTTTCACACTATGATTAGTATGAAGGATTATATAAGTTACTAGAGTTCAGCTGGTTGAATTGAAGAATATAGATTTAGTAATTCTAATGCAGTTCTAGTAAGCTCTCGAAGATTGTGGAAGAAACGAACACAGCACATAATAGTATTCTGTAGTCTTTTGTCTTTACCTCTGTGTATAGAGGTTTTGTTTTCGGTGTGCTAAGTCAGTTTCTGTAACATGCTGAGGACCTTAAGTACAGGCAAAAGTAATAGAAATTCATTTTCTGTCTCCAATGCATAGAAGGCATCAGCCATAATGGATAAAACAAGAAAAAGTTCATCTTAAGAAGCCCTTGTAAGTTGACAAATTATCATGGCCTTGTAGGCTTGTAGCCTTAACTGTTGGTGTTACATAGCTTCTTTATTTTAATTGGACTGCCTTGGGGGTTGTGATTTTCTTACAAAATAAATCTGGACCTCTAATACTGTGGCTTTTCTAGAAATGATAAAAGCTATGGTAAAAGCAGTGCAAGAATGACAGTAGGACAAGGCATTCTGTTCAATTTAAAAGAAAACTACAAGAGGGTCATAGATGAAATTGCTTTAGCAATTGCTGCAAAGACTTAGTATTTTAACCAAACCAAATATTTTAAGACTAGTCTTTCAGTTCAACCAACTTCTGATAAAGAAAGCATGACTTTCCATATAGATAGAGCATAGTCTAATTTAAACATTGTTATTGCTAGGTTGCTCAGTTATAAAAGTTGTAATTAATGGTTTAATGTGTAGGCATATAGTGGGTCTTGTGAGCTTCACATAGTCATTCTAATGATAAAAACTGCATGCTCAAAATATGTTAGCATTTGTATGTTGCTCTTTCTTGTTGCTATAAATTGTTACATGTGTGCTAAGATATATTGTTGACGAGTTACTGTTATATTTGGTTAAGAAATATCTGATGTGTATTGTTTGTCTCAAGAAAGTTTGCAAACAGAATCATGCTTGATTGAAAAAACATTGACAGTCAACCTTCAGTACTCGATGGATGCCATATGACACTTGAATTGTCTACATGAGAAGTTGAGTGCTAAAGGTTGACCTGATGGTGTTTTACTTGCATGTTGTTTTACATCAAAGATTGATAAGTGAAGGCTGTTCCAGAATTAATCGGAGTTTCTGGCCATTTAAAACAAATCCTGTCAGTTTGTGTATGATTTGAATGACACCCATAGGTAAAATATAAAATGTTTGTATGATGATATTTCTCTTGCCTCATTGCATCATGATTTACATTTCTGATTTATGATTGATGCGATGATCAAAAGTTCATACTATGCAGACTAGTACCTTGCATAAACCTTCAAACCATTGTTTGAAATTGCATTTTCACATGAAAGGGCTATGCAATGAAGCAATAGTTCCAGATTATTTGCCACCATCTTGAAAATCGGTGGAATGAGCAAAAATTGCATCTCATCAAATTGTATTTCATCCCTTTATTTGAAGCCCCTACGGGCATGAATGTTCATCTACTTCAGCAGTTTAATCCTGTTACTAAAAACCTTCAATCAGAAGAATGTAATATGATGATGTTTTTGTGACTGTGAGCTCTTGGCACAAAACTAGCACTTTATTTTGCACACTGAGAAATCAAATAATCCTGCATCAGAAATATTTAAATTACTTAAATCCAACGAAATTCTCAACAGAGCAATAATTGAAAGTTAGAGTGCATATATCCATTTTGTAAAAGAAATTGACACACTGTTGCACTTCTGATGTATACAGTGCATGTTCCTGTTCTAAACATTTACTTGAGGGGATCAGTTGTAATGTTTCAAGGTTCACTTTTCTGGAACAGCCTTTACAACTATGCTTGTTAGCAATTTGGGCATGGCATGCTCACCTTTCTTGATACGTGTATGTTCAATTCTAATACATTGTTGCAATTGTCAATATGGGATATGCTTGCAAAATTTTGTTGTTGTGATTAGGCCACACTGATTTAAGTTGTATGTCAAATAATAATATGGATGACATCTGCGCGCATTGATTTTTGCCAGTTCTCAAAAAAAAAAAAAACTCTGGCCGAAGTCTGGGTACCATCCTCCATAGTTCATGGCAGCTACTGACATTAGGGAGCTGGTGGTAACTACGGAGCGGAGAATGTCACCCAGGCTATCGAGGCTCCGCAGAACTCTAGCACTCAGTACGGTGCAAACTCATAAATGCTGCAAAAGACCAGCCAGCTTGTTGTAAAAGCAGTCATGATGTATATTATATAACCACAAATTTGCGGCATCAGCTTTGTATTCCTGTGGTTTAGCAGCATTTTTTGGCTGGACTTTTTTTATTCACCCACTCGCATTGGGGGTCTTCAGAGGATGTCATCCATAGAATTAAGTCGGTGTTGCCTTAGACTAAGTGTAAGCGTTAACACATGGTTTGCCAATGTGATGCATTGTATGGTTTGTTTCCTTTTTGCTCTCTCCACAGCAGGCTAGGAAAGAAACACTGTATTGACTCTTGAACTTGAACTTGGACGTCACAACAAGTCACAACCAGTCCATATAGCAAACATGGTAATTTGACATTTTCTGTGCACTTCAAAGTTTGCAGCTTTCAGATCTAAGGTGTGTCATATGTCATTAAAAAAAAATTCTCAAAAAGTAGAGATTACCATTTGTGCTCTTTGCTGAAAAATGTCCTGTGTAACTGTTGAATATATTGATTTTTGCCATCATCACAATCCCCCCTCCAGATTTTTTTATGTGGAACTGGTACAAAAGATTAATATTGTGTTTTGTATTTATCTCATTAATCTATGGCATGAACACTCAAAAGTCACTTTTTTTATGGCTTCAATTGCAGTTTTCTTTTTCCATCTTAAAAACATAATGCTATCATATCATTTGTTAAACATCTGGTAATTTTACTATCTTTATTATACTAGAGATCTTGTGATTTACATAGGAATGCACAGTTATAAAATCAGTGCTGCACACAGGTCAGATTATTTTGTCAAGATACACTTCAAATATTAAAGAAAGATTGTTTTTAATGTTGATCAAACTTATGGCTTGCAACTTTTATGCAAGATGTACATGTACATGTATTTTCTCTCTTGTTTTGCATGATATGTTGATACTAAACGTGTGGTATTGGCTTGGTATGATTTTTTGTTTATTAGAAGTGATTGATTGTATGACAGTGAATTTTCATTATTCTTTTCTTTCCAGGTCTGACTCCTAAGCAAGGCATTATGAGGACTTATTTGTGACTTAAATGCACATATTTAAACTAAGATAGATTGTGCAGATAACGCAGCATATATAGTAGTTTGTTGATCTTTGTATGAATATACCATGGGGGTTTTGAGACAGCAGTATGGTCTTTGACAATGTACTCAATGCTTACTTATTTTTCAATGTTGGCCTTTTTTGACATACTTTTTTTTTTTTAACTTTGTGTTTATGATGCAAATTCTCTTATTCAGCAGGTACAGAAGTTTTTGCCAAATATACACCCTTTTCACATCAATCCCAGATTTTTTATGACTGTTAAAATGGGTACAAGGGGGAAGGGTGTGCAGTTGGTCATGAATAATACTATTGCTGGCACTGCTCCCTCATGTAACCAGCCAGTGCCCTTATATCAATTCTCAGATTGAACCCTAAGTGGATACTTACACAGCAAAAAGCCTCCACCCCCCCTCAAGTAGCCTCAAAATGTCCCATTTCAACCTCAAATTTTCAAAAGCTTCACACAGAAACCTCCCTTCAACAACAACAAAAAAACCTCAGTCGCTTCGCTCCCTCGCCATGCCAGCGATCGGAATATTGTCAGAAAATGTTGTATTTTGATGTCATATTAAAGCCACAAGGGACAGTGATCATACTAACTAATTTGTGAGTTTTCCTTGCCTTCATAGTAGGTACAACTGCAGCTGAAGTAGGGATCTCAAGCAACAACACAGCACAGTCAGCAGCTAGATCTGTCATCCAGGTTACTCAGTGATAGTGGGACTACTAGGTCACGTTTCTGTGATGGACTTTCCTTCAGTGTCAACACTGTATGGTATGATGTGTGAGGCCAGGACCAACTTTTTCTTTGACCTCATTGCTTCCCCGTTTGTCCTCTTTTGTGTATTTGTCTTCTTCAACTGACCATAGCCTTTACTTCACTCCTCACTTCCACTAACTCTGCCAACTCCCTACATGTCTCCCACCTTGCAGTGTCAACATTTTTTTAGTTTGTCACATTGCACTGTATACATTTTTCAACAGTTAAATGTCATACTTAAAACGGACGAAAAAGCAATTGTACCAATCAAAGCCTAGACCCCATGTGTATGACAATCATCTGCAGAAAACTAAATTTTTCATGGCAGAGCATTAATGTAATACTAGTAGGTTTAATCATAAAAAGCTTTGTTAGTACACAAGTATACCTTGTTAGAGAACAGTGATCTGTATTCAGGTTGTGGATTAATTTCATGTTTACTGTAAGACGGAGGTAACAGTATAAATACAGGTAGATTTTCTGGAGTGGGTTGTTGTGGGAGGCATGAAGGGTACTTTTGTTGTAGTGAAGGACTTTTCTCAGTAATTTGGGCCATTTCTTACAAATGCTTCTACCACACCTACAATGATTTGATTTTTTTTTTTTAACTTGTGTCCGTATTTGATTTTCTGTTTGATTTTTTTTACCTGGATTACAGGTGACTAAATTGGTGTAAACTATAGATGTTGAAAATTAGAGTAGCTGGCCCAGGTGGAAGCTTGCTGACATGGAACATGGCATTATTCACAAGACTGCCAGCTTTGTGTTCCTATCATCAGGCCTTTTCCAGAGGCAATTTTATCTGACTGAAACATAAAAAGTCTGAAAGTAACAAGTCACTACTAAAAGCAAAATCAGTTATATAATTTCACCATAAAACTGGCTTCGTTTGCCTTCACAAGCAGCATTATTTTTTTATATGCTTGTCAGTTTAGCTGATGGACCAAAAATGTTGGGAGGAAAGTTGTGACTAGATGTGTCATGCTGTTTTGAATACAGCAAACATTCAAATGGAAGGAAGAAAATGTTCAAATTCATGCATATATACATGTGTAAATATATCGCCGGAAACCCCAAGGAAATGGACCGAATGGATCAGAATTGTATCACGGCAGCAAAGGTAAGGCAAAATGGACATCTTCCATTGTGTACTTTTTTCTTTCCACCAGACTTTCAGAATAAATAGTGAAGATGGATTATACAATAGTCACGTAATACGATCTTTGTGTTTTGTCATATATGTCGGAATCAGAACTGCAGACGACGATGAACAAGTGCATGTAACTTGTGTTAAGTTGGTATGTATTGTGTATAGACTTGACAATCTGAATCTGGTACTAGATACATGCCCAAGAGCTAATAAAAGATGTGGAAAGTACCTGATTGTGTGGAGTGGTCCTTCTCTGCAGCGGTCAGGTGCACAGGATGTGTGAACGTGGATGGATGATGTTAGCTCACATTTTATAATCAAGCTGTGAAGGGTGCTGAAGAAAACTGGCAAGAACACCACTGTCAGAAATTTCAGTTACTCTGAGCTAGTGAGTGAGTGGATGAGTGATCACTAAGTCCCAGTCTTCTGCATCCATGGAGCTTTTATAACATACCCAATCGAAGTACACGAGACAAAGACCCATACAACTAAAAGCCACTGCATACAGTTTTACTTGGTTCCGGGACAGAGTTATCATAAACGTAATGCAACCAGCTAACCATAAAAGACATAAAAGTATGTTGAGTCGGCAAGGCACATTGTTTTTATAGCTCAAGAAAAAACTTCATACCATTACTTAACAAGTCGACAATTTTTGCTATGAAGTACATGAACAATATGTAATCTCCAGTAATCTTTGTGGACCACAAGGCATTTTAACAGAATGCCTAAAAGTACAAACAAGTCTTCCTCTCAACCATGTTCTATTACAGCTAGTGCCAGTAATTAACAGAATTCCGGCTTGCTAACTCTTCAATTTTTCTAAGACTTATTGAATTACCCAGGAATTTTTAAGAAAATCAAAGCAATTACAATTTTAAAGAGTGGTTTATATTTTACACGGTTACTGTACAACTACATTGATTCGGACTGAAATTACTACCTGCTTTTTGCAATCTCCAAGCAGATCCTAGGGTGGCAAAAGACAGTATCAAATTGGCCAGTCAGTATCCATTCACCAAAGGGTGGTGTATGGACCCTATGGTGAATGGATACTGCCTGATCAATTTGATACTATCTAATCACCCTAGGATCTGCTTGGAGCTATTTTGCACCTCACTGGCAGTGTAATAAATTCAAAATAATCAGTTGGAAACATGGAACCAGTCATTTACTCCCAGGTCAACCTGACATTCAAAATTACATCTGTGGGAAGTTGAGGGTTCAGAGCATTGATCCCTCAAAGCTAGTCAAAACATTTTGTTCTCTTTCAAATAAAAGGGGCTTCTTTTCCTTGCCAACCAAAAACAAGTTTGGAAGCTGACTTCTTTTCTATGACCAAAGGCAGTCTCTTGGCCATGATCAATTTTGAGATCCCCATGGCTCAGTTTAACCCAGAGCCATGTGAACATGAATCATTTTTTGCGCTTTGAACAGACATTTCCATATATTTGTGGAATTTTTCTTGAAATATTTACCGGTAATCATAATGTCAGCTTGGCTATTCCTGTTTTAGTTGTGAGAAAGAGTTCTGTATTAGGCAGCATAATTTCTACTTAATCTGAGTACACTTGAGTGATGTGTCCATTTCATCCTGTCATCACCTACAATGCTTCTAAGTGTCCTTGGTCTCATTCTGTCTTACCATCCATGTGGTCATTGTACTGACAGTTTTTTTTCTCTCAAAAGTATTCTAGCTTAATTAGGTCATGTCTCTAGATCAAGGCAATTAATTATTTCAAGTACATACATACGAATTGATACACTTTATTTTGTCTGTTTCAACCAGATTGCCACAGTCCAGGCCATGATAGTACCATTGAGGGAGCCACGTGCACCGATATTCCTGTATTTAGAATTGTCTTACTGTTGTTAAATGTGTTCTTGTTGTTTTTGTTTCTCCCTGCAGCCAGAGGACAAGGACAGAATGAACCCGTATGAGTTCCTGAAGGGCTTGTCCCATCTGCTCGGTGAGGAGGGAGACATAAAGAGTCCCCAGGAAGTCCTCAAAATAGTCACGTGAGTTGGCATCTTATGGCAGTTTGATATTTATCATAGAGGATCATACTGTAAATTTGTTTACAATTATTTACAGCACCAGAACTTTAAATTGTGTGACTTGTAATGTTGACCACCACACACATTCCACCTATCTTCAACCAATAGACTTTTTTTTTATCCCAGTGCATGCTGGGAGATGCATTACACTCTGGGTAGCATAGAATCAAAGAATGTCATTAGATACATTATATAAACACATGGTGTTCTTTTGAATCCTGAACCAATTTTTTTTTCAGGGAAATGAAGGCCACCAAGAAGTTAGTAGGCAGATGTTGTTTTCTCAACATTTTGAGGGCGACAAAATCAGAAGAAACATTGTCAAAGTAAGTAGATTACACTTTTGGTATAATATTCTTTACTTTTTTATTTTGGTTGTTAGTATCCTTAGTCATTTCCATGAAAAGAAGGGAAAATTTCCATGACACAAACATGTATATGTGTTGTTTTTTTCAGGTTTGTAGAGATTGGAGGCTGGGGAATCATGAACTCTTGGCTAACTGATGCCAAGGACACAAATAACGTTCCCCTGCTACAAGAAGTTCTCAAGGTTCTCAAGCACATGCCTGTCACCATAGAGCAGCTTAAGAAGGTGAGTGTGGTTGGAAAGAATATAGTTCTATTGTTTCTGTTTTGCTAAACTAGTCATTGACATATTTCTGATGTGTCTTTCCTCTTCACAAAAAGATTAAGTGGCCCTTCAATAACCTGTGATCAAGCTGGGAAATATCTTAACCTATTGACATTTCTTTTTCAGAACAACACTGCAAAAGTTGTGAAACAACTCAGCAAAACATCAGACAATGAAAGTAAGTATGACATATTCAAAGGCTTTTATAACTCACTACATTCTGTAAATCTTTGTATATGAGTTAATGGTTTATTTCATGTGAACAGCACTAATTCCACGAGACTCAAAAGTTTCATCAACTAACATTTGTCTGTTTTTTTCCTCCTCAGAAACCAAGAGTATGGCCAGCAGTTTAGTGACATACTGGATGAACATGATCCATGCCAAGGGCAAAGGAGGTTCGGAAAAGACTAACAAAAAGCACCACCATAAGAGACATCATGAAGATTCCAAAGACTCTAAAACCTCCTCTGAAAAGACTGCATCTTCAGCAGAACCAGAAAAGCCCAAGAAAGCCAGGTCGACTAAAGTTCGAGCTCCTTCATTTGCCAAGACAAGATCAACAGGACTTGAGGAAGAGACCAAACTGCCAGCTCCCGTAAAGAAGTCTGGTTCTATAGACAAGAGACCAGGTAGTTCTATACCTGCGGCAAAGAGACCAAGTTCTCCCATAGATAAGCTGTTAACTCCACCAGAGAAGAAACACAGACCTCAGCCTCTGAACAGAACTAGCAACTCACCAGTACAAGCTAAGGTCAAGATCATCCCTGCAAAACGTAAGTACAGATCAAAGCAGGGTAAAGCCTGGGCTTGGTTGATGTTACTTGAGATTAATTAGTTGGGGGGGGGGGGGCTTCATTTGGTGGTAGGAGGTGGAAAGAGGTTTTCACTATGTTTTGAGCTTGTGGGTGGAACAATTCTGAGGTATAACAGTAGTGAAAATGGATTAAGGTCACTGTGTAACCGCTACAAATATTGCAAGGTTTGCATGCTGTACGTATTTTCAGCGAAGTTTACTGCAAACTGTAGAATTATTACAATTCCAAGCCATTAAATGATGAAGTAAGCCTTTGTTACATGCCTTGTTTATGCAAGACTTTTAAAAATGAGATATCACACAGAAATAGCCCAGTTTTAGTGATTTCATGATTGTTGACAGTTGTCACCCCTTGTTTCCACAGCTTTTGTTGCCATGGATGACACAGGGTTCATGGAAGCTCTAAGTGCCAATACTGCAAAGTCTCACGTTATCAAGGTGAAGAAGAAGCCCAAAAATGCCAAACCAGGAACCCCCACCTCCCCCACGGCGCCCAAGGGGAACCCCCTGGGTGGGGAGGACCGCCCCAGGACCCCCTCCCCGGTAGATGGAGAACTGAAAGAGGAGAGACCAGGCACACCCATTGAGGAGGCCATGGATAGTGAGTTCCACAAACCAACTAAGGCAGAGGAAGCTGAAAGGAAAGGTAATCATACAGTACACAAGTACCTGTCTCTAGAAAATACTTGGCACTATGAAAATAGATGTCACTATATCTCTTACGGCAAAAAAATTGAGGGATCTCATACTGTGTATCTAATGCTCTGAAAGTACAGTATAATTAAATATTATAATTACTGTAATAAAAGTACATGTATGTGCAGAATAAAAATTAATTTGTAAATAAGGGCCATGGAAAAAGAAACAAATACAATGTACTGAAATAAAAAAAACTAGTACTATGTACTGAAATATAAAAAAAAACAAGTACAATGTACTGAACTGTATGGATCAAAATTAAACTGAACGAGGGAGAGAGCGAGTGAGTGAATGAATGAATGACTTAATAATGGAAGGATGAATGGTTGACAGATTTTACCAATGTCTGTAGTAGCAGTCAGGATTGCTAGTAACAAAAAGGTAACTTGTATTTTACAGCAGAGGAAGACCTGGAGCCCCCTGAGCCGTACAAGGGAGGCAGTATCCTGGTCTCTCACAGGAGAAAGAACAGGAGGAAAAAGTCTGTTAAATGGGCCGTGGACGATGCACTGAAGGAGGTGTTCTACTTTGAGATGGATGAGTCTGAGAGAGGTAAGTCACACTTGTAATGTCTGTCTGTTCACTAAAGTAACAACTGCTGTTGAACCACAGGGCAGAACAACTTGCCCACTGAAATTTGACAACACAAGCCTCGAAAAACTTTTCTTCCTATTGTCCCAAAAATAAATTTCAATTGTCCTGAAATGAGGATGAACTGTCTCAACCAGTTTTTCGAGAAGTATTGTATGACAGCAACTTTAAGTCAACTTTATTTTGCTTACGTTCTGACTCCCAGGCACGCTATAATTGCAGAGTACACAAGAAATTTGGGAGGCTTTTCCAGAGCCAAAAGCCAGGATGTGTGCCTGATCAACAAAAGAAAGACTGACATTATTTTGCTATTGTCCCAAAAATGTGCCAAAGTGACTTTCTAGTTGTCCCGGCCTAAATTCTATCAGTGACCATCGGGACACTGTTAATTTCGAGCCTTGCAACACAGAAAATAATTGTTTTCTCACAAACTTTTCCTATTGTTTATTTTTATACCAGTGTGGTATATTACTATAAACAATTTCCCATGGCGAATTGGTTGGATGAAACAGGGGATTTGTAAATAGTGCAGCATTGTTTTTCAATGCTGAGACTTGGAGGCTAACCATTCCAGTAAAACGTTTTTGATTCTTTGAATGATTGATTGATTTGTATTTCCTTTCCCCAACAGCCAATGTGAACGTTCAGAACTTCCAGGAGGCAGCCCACAGAGAGATGTTACTGGAGAGACAGGCCATGGAGACGGCCAAGAGACTCAGCGCAGACGAAATGATAGAAAAGAAAGGAGTAAGTTGAAAGTGTCCTACAATTGATAACAAGGCTTGAAATTACTGGACAAAACTATTGTGTTATGCCTAAGACCAAACCAATTTAATTTGTTAGTTCTCGGATTCGCCTCTTCATTTTTTTTCTGATTTGCAAAAAAAAAAGATTCTGGTTCACAATCAAATCAAATATGCTCATATTTTGAGCCAAACAGTTGTGAATGAGAAAAGTCCTTTTCATCCTAGCTGTTACAGTTTTTCCATCTATCAATGCAGTGGCTTGATTAAAAGTTCAAAATTCATTGTTTAAATATTAGCCCAGCCTTTTGTGTTGACTTCATGGCTCCTATCGTAGCATTTCGGGCTATAATAGGATGCCTAGACCTGTTTTTTTTTTTTTTTTTTTCCCTGTCACTTCAAATTTTTTCTAAAAAAGATCTGAGAACCAAGAAATTGAATTGGTGTGGCATAAAGACAGTTTACTTGTTATTCAAAACAAAACCAAAGAACAAAGCATAGATAGAATACAATAGATCCAATCCCTTATACTTAATGTTAATGATGTTTTGATGTTGTTTCCCAGTGGAAGCCTCCCCCGAGGTTAGACATGCCCCCATCTACAGTAGAGCATGGCTACCAGAGTGTACAGAGAGACATACAGAAGGAGAGGGAACAGTGTGTACTGCAAGAACTCTTCTTCTCCAAGTCTAGGTAAGGATCTACTTCGCTGAATTTCCTTTTGGTGTATTACTTATTACGTAGTCTTGAAATTGAAAATAGTTTGTGGGACAATAGAGTCAATTCCGCGTCACCGAGTGGGTTGTTATTGTCATTATTTAGAAATGTTTTGAATTCTTTGTAATTGTTTGTCTAAGAAATTTCATAATTTGGAAATATTTTGAACATCTTGTCAATATTCTAAATAATTCCCTGGTTTTCTAAAACGTTTGAAATATTCCTGATGTGGATTATGACATTTCCAATAGTTTCTAACTATTTCTAACAGCACTCTACCATTTTTTACCATTATTTCGAATTATTTCTAACATTTTGTAAATAGGTCAGTGGGATGGGAAGGAAGTAATTCACACATCCCTGTGAAGTACAGGGTAGACTGCCTGGGTGTCAGGCATTGATGCCTTACAACAAAAGAGCCACCAGTGTCCAGCAGTGAAATCTAAAAATATACAGAGGAAGACAGAAGAGTAGGATTAGCAACTACTTTTATGGGGGCAATTACCCACATCTACCATTTGGTTATTTGTTTGAAATATTTCTAAATATTTCGAACAGTAAAAGAAACACATGGGTAGTTCAAATTTATTCTAAATAAAGAGATCTTTGTACAGTCACTTTCAAAATGTTTCAGAAATATATAAATGAATTCAAATATATTCAAATTTTCGTTTTAAAAATTTTTGAAAAATTTAGAACTTTTGTTACTGGGGTATTCTTTTCTTCTAAATAATTCAAAAGTATTACAAACATGGAGAAAAAACCCACTCGGTGACGCGGAATTGACTCTAATTGCTGAATATCTTGCTTCACAAAGTGTATCAATATTATAAAAGTACATCGTATACAGACTTTTGTCACCTGCTCTTGTACAGAGAATAATGATAGGTACATGCATTGGAATCAAATGTAAAGTTAATACAAAGTCTATGTTTTGATAGGATTTCTACAAGTCCACTAATCAAGACTCTTGCTCTCCCAGTCTTCCAGATAGCCCTCATGAGCCTGACCCGGAGCCTTACACAAGGGAAGAACCTAAGATCATACCGTTGGATGAGGTAAGAAATCTTTACAGAACTATAGAAACACTATGGCACTGGTATGTGTCACCTTCTAATGTATAAGAGATAATCAGAGTGCATGTACCAGTTGCTTTGACATTCTTTGAAGAGGTGCCAGTGATGATCACCAATATTTGCTAGTTGATGCGTCACTGATATCAACCTCAACCACCAAGATCGCTGAGGCACAAATGACATTCTGTCACACTGGCAAGCAATTAGTCAGTTTTGTTCCTTTAGATACAGCCCATAAGTACAATATGATGCTAGATTTTTGGCTCTGCCATTGTGCTTACTATGCTGTTTCTGGTATTCTCTGGTATGCTCTCATCTGTAGATTTAATACTTATTCAGAAGATTGTTAAATGTACAGAAAAACTTTTGAGAGCCATTCTACACTGAAATGCAAATAGAGACCAGAGCTCAAAATTAACTTTTTTTACTATTGTCCCAGAATTGTCCCAAAAGTAGATTTCAATTGTCCCAAGCTGAGGATGGACTGTCCCATTGGACACTGGGACAATGTTAATTTCGAGCCCTGGAGACACCAACATGGCCGCATCTTTACTACCGGTAGTCAGTCAGTTGCATTACACACAGCATTAAAAGAATTTCCCCTGCACAGGAAATGGTACCAGAAGTGGACTTCTTTGAGCCGCCCCCCTTCCAGCCTACAGTTGAGGAGGAGGAGCTACAGCAGCTCCAGAGACCACCCCCTCAGCAACAGATGCTCCCAGACCAGGGGGGTGTCAACCCTCTGGCAGGGGTGAACCTGCCCCCTGCTCTAGCCAACCTGATGCAATCCATGCAGAAGAAGCCAACTCCAACCTCACAGGCCCAGCCACAGACATCGCAGCCCAACCCAGGAGGCTTCAACTTACTATCCTCTCTTATGGTGGGTGCAATGGCTACTAAAATAGTATAACATACATCTTCCCACTGAAGAACATCATACATTACAGTGCTCAAAGTATTATTACTAAGAGCATATTTACTTTTGTGAACCCAAAATTGCATATAATTTTGACTGTGAGTGTAGGGTTTTGTAGGTAAATGTGTTATTGTACACTCGTACACACGACACAGGCTAGTGTTGACAGTGTCAGAAAGTATTAACTCTAATGTGTTATCAGTCTTTTTCATGTAATGGTAAGATGCTTGAAGTAGACAGTATTTCTTTGGCTTTCCTTGCATGTGAAGGTGCCACTAGTTGAGGAGTTGCTCAGGGTCCACATCAGCAGTACATGTAGACAGGTCAGGTTTAGACAGGTGTTAGTAGCAGGTTTCACATTCACAGATACAGCTTTAGACAGGATTGTACCAAAATTACGCCAGACAGATACAGGGAAAAGATACAAATATTTTAAAACAGTACTCACAACAAAAAGAGTTTGCTACTCAAGGGAGCTTTCGTGATGCATTCTGTCTCAACCCGGTTAAGTCAAATATTAACTTGGAGTTAGAAAATACAGTTTCAGTGAAAAATTGCTAGCCTTCCCAAGTGTGTTGTATCTCCTGTTTTATTCTCAGCACTTGGCCTACATTAGTGGTGCACATTTTTTACTAACTTATTTTAACTAGTACATGTATTAACTTTTATTAACATGTATTACCTTATTGTTTTCTCCTAACAGGGAGGACCCGGGGGAGAACACCCTGGCCCAGAACAGAGCCCTAACCAGGACCCAGAACTGTTAACCACTCAACTGAAGGACATCCTCAACAAGGTACAGGGAGGTCCAGCCGGGATGGGACCACCAGGTGGACCACAGGGGCCAGGTAAGACTGGACATTACGTGTATGCACATCCCTGTACACTAACTGTAGGGTGAAACATATTCCTGTTGGTCTGGACAATTTGGATGTCTTATATTTGCATTAAAAACCACAGCCAGACTTCAGATTAACTTTTAGCTCACTGAATTCTCTTTTGATTATGAAGTTGGTAGGGAGAAGGTTAAGAAATGTTGAGTTGCTGTTAGACATTTTTTACTAAGTTTGGTGTAGAATTTGCTTTGTTGTAAGCATGTCAGTCTTTTACAAAACCATGACAGAATACAAGTCACAAACTGTACTGTTTGTTGATACGAAAATTCTCGTGGTTCACTCATTTTTCTGTCAACTTGATTTGTGTCTCTTAAAAAAGACACTTTTAAGGCTTATTGTTATGGATTATATTGTGTGTACATGGTGCTATATATCATACATTAATATGTTCTTGACCTGCCAGGCATGCACCCGATGCCGATGGATGGACAGCCGGGCCCCATGGGTAACGGCTTGGTACGGGGAGGTCCGTTTGACCACCAGGGACCAATGGGACCAGGCGGGCCTCAGATGGGACCTTTTCCAGGTACATACCTTTTCCTTGTAGTAGTGTACTGTTTTATTACTCCTTGTTAGAATCTTCAAATACTGCAATGACATATTTCAAACTTCCATTTTAATAGGAGGGTTAAAAGGGTGATTTCTGATTGTTGTTATCTACTTTTCTAGCTATACTTCTTTGTTGTGTTTATCAGTGTTACTAATTTTTGTACCCATGTTATGTTATGTTATGTCATCTATGTATTTTGGTTTTACTTTTACATATTGTATCGTTTTCTCGTTCAATGGACCCCCTTTGTATGCTCCACCTCTACTATGGAGGATGAATGATGATGATGATGGACCCCCTTGAAAATCAGCAAAAAATAGCTGTAGGGGCAAGCCAGTTGTATGAAGATGAGCCAAGATGTAGTGAATAGATAAATAAAATCTTTGGAATTCCAAGGTGAAGGTCAACCATGAATGAACTCAAATGCACTTGACTTATAATTAATGTCATGGTTTTACTCTAGAATGTTTTAACTTTTGTATCTTTAACACATCAAGTGTTGTATTAGACTGTTTTTCAAGTGAAACTGACTTTGAAATGTTTCCTCTGCAGGAAACCAGAATGGCCCACCACCGTTTGGTCCTGACGGGGGGCCTCCACCATTCCAGGGGGGTCCGAGAGGCCCTCCCCCCATGATGCACCCCCCTGGCCCAGGTCCACAGTGGCCCGGCCCTCGGGGGCCACCCAGGGGGCCGATGCGGGGCAGACCATTCCAGGGGAGGGGGAGAGGCCGGGGGAGAGGTAAGGTCTTTCCACTAGTAATCACGCTTGGCATTTTTTGAACATGATGTTGCTTTCTGCCATAGAATGGAAAAGACAAACAGATAAGCAATGGAGATTTTAACGTTGCTGTGTTACCAAATGATACAGTCAAAACTACTCAAGAAGACCATTCAGGGGACCTTTAGAATTTGGTCTATGTGGACAGGTGGCCACAATAGACAGCTTCTAGATGCTTTTGTCAGTCAGAAGAATTATCTAAGGGACCACAAAAAAGAGGTCACATTGGCCATGTTATTCCTATGATCACTTGTACAGGTTTGACTGTAGCATATTATAGCACGTCAGCAGAACGTACTGCACCTGCACGAAACCTGTAATGTATTGTGCATAGCACTTTGGCAGAACGTTTTATACAAGGTTGTATTCGCTCATATAAGGTTAACACTCCATCTGTAGTTTCCAAATGTTATGTCAGAAAAATAGTGTCTGCAACACAGACAAAATTCTGATGCAACATTGACCAAAATCCAACGAAAACCGTGAAAAATGGGGGTTTTGTGCAGGCAGAGTACATCCTGCCAACGTGCTGCATATTTTACTGGTATTCTTGATAAGTTAAAAGTCAGACAAGGAAATTTTTCACTAATGTTTTTGTGTTGTTGTTGTTGCAGGTGACAGGTCCCACATGCCCGTGTGCCGACACTTTATGTCTCAGACCGGCTGCAGATTCGAGGGCGCCTGTACCTTCTACCATCCAGGTGTCAACGGACCCCCACTACCGCATTAACAATAGCAGAGACCCCCTCTAACGCAAATACAGTACTCCAGCACAAGTCGTCATATTCTTCTCATGATTGCCAGCCATTGATGATAATGTGTACTGTTGTTCTTTACCTTCTCTCTAAGTTCCTTAGTATGCTTATCACCTTCAGGTACGTTTGCCAAAATATATTTCTGTCTTTCTCATGTATGCTTTATTGTCTGACATCTTATTTTTATTTTCATGAACACTATACATGACACTACAGCCTTGGATAAAAGATATGACAGCTATAGGATCATCGATGTGTCTGCTGCAAAGGCTAGGAAGTAGAGTTGATTTTCTTGCTGTATTGTAACAAATGTAATACCTAAAAGAAAGGCAACAAATTATAATCTGTATTTTTGTACGAACATTCATGCAAAAGAGGAACTTTGTGTGTAACTTAAACGCTGAGCACCTAACATTTCTTAAATGCAAATGCAGTTCCTTTAGACTGTATATATATACAGTATTTATGCCAGCTTCATGTTTTTGCCATGATAAATATGTATGTATGTGTATGTGTATATATAAATGTTGCTGTGAATCCAAATTTTTCTTTGATAACTGATACTGGTGCTTTTGAATCAACAAAATACTAGGGAACCTTTACATGTGTATATGTTTACGTGGATGATCGTAATATGTTGTTTACTATGGCAGCGCATACAAATCATATTGATGAGTATCGAGAGCAAAGCACTTCAGAATACAGAATGTACAAGAGCGTTATGAAAGATAAAATTATCAATCTTGCTTGTTTGCAAATTATTTCTCTAACATGTATGTTGCAATATCATTGTAATCTCTGTACTCACTGTGTAGTCAACTGTAGTTTACATGTATAACTCACAGTCATTTCTGGCACTGAATCAGTGCTTTACTTTACATAATACACCTGACATTCTACACAATGTGGCACTCTAGGCCTGTACATATGGAGCATACAATTGCTCCAGATAATTATGTAATAAACTTTCGTATCCAAGCTGATGACACGTCTCCTGTGTGTGTTAAACTGTAAGGATATACAGGTACATGTAAGTAACATACTTAAGGTGATATGAAGTTTGGTATAATTAAGTAAGATGGTGTATGCGATAGATTGTACTTAGTATTGATAGTGAAGGTATGATGTACATAAGTACTGAGATAGAAATCATGTTCTCCATCCTACATTATTAACACAAAATGATATTCAAATCTGTATATTATTCAAGTCAGGTATACATGGGTATCGAAAATACACAGCGTGAGATTCATCTTCACACGCGAGGTTGGCACGTTCATGTTCATCCTGTAGCCCGTTACTCACGCTGTGTATTTCTTCACCTGAGTACCCAAAGTATATAGCTCTCTGTCTGAGTAATGAACACAAAGTCCTTTCATTAGGATTTCCAATTCAACACGAAGAGTCTGTTGTCATGTAGTGTAACAAGAGCTGTTAAACTGAAACGTTGACGGATTTTTCTCCTTCCTGATCCCGAAGCTTATTAAGAAGCTCGTTTGAACGAGATATTAAATCGGGAACGTGTACGCGTGACTTCGCCTCAGCTCTGTCGTCAATCTTGAGGACATGGTCGTCCTGTAAATCCGTAGACAAAGAAATTTTGTTCAAGACATCTAGTCCTTTCTCCAGATGTTCAATTGCTTTCTTTGTGTCGAAAACTTGATAACAGAAGCCGAGTTGGTAGTGAAGCAGTCCCACTTGTACTCCGGTCTCTTTCAGATATGTCCGTATCTGTAGCTCCACCTCCCAAACGTTTATAGCCTCCTGAATTTCATTCAGACTCGCAAAGACCTCCCCAACCATAGACAGCAGACCCGCGTCCTCACGCCCGTGTTCTATGGCTGTACGCTCCCTGCGATCTTTGAGCTGGGCAAGCCCCAGAAATGCAGTACTCAGTGCAGTCTTTTTGTCCCCGATATCACGTTGTAGTATCGACAACCGGTAAAGCAAGCCGATATGGTCTGACCAACGGCGGGCGTCGGTGTGTTGGCACGATTTCAAATGGCAGAAGGCCAATCGGAGATGTTGTACTATTTGCAATGGGCGTTGTCTCTTCCTCAGCATCTCGGCAGCTAGTATGTACGGTTCAGCTTTGCGACACAAACACTCCGAAGAGTAGATCTGGCTTGTGAATCGAAACGTCTCAAGCTTCGGAAGTGTCTCCGCCAAGAACACGTCCAAGTCGTCGTAACGTTGCTGCTCGTCGAGTAGCCGCGCGTACATGCAGATGAACCGCGCCAAGGCCACGGCGTCAACTCGGGAACCCCCGTCTTCTATCTCTAGCTTCATCTCTTCAAGGCTGTCAGCCAAACTGGACGCGTCTGCCTCTTTAGGATCCAATACCTTCCACCACCATTCTATGTCCGTGAAATACGGCGTGGCTTTAAACCAACTGAAGAGCTTCTTCAGGGTGCTTTGGGATTTTCCTGGCATAGCCTGCTCTCTGTACGCTCGTGCAAGTGCCAGTTTTGCAGCAGTGATTTCAGTTGCTTGGCTGTCAGATCCGTAGAGACGACTATATGCCTCTAGCGACCCCTTTAAGAACAGCATGGCAGTCCTCTGTTCCTCCAGTTGCAGAGCAGTGAAACCGATCGTGAACTTGCACCTGGCGAGACTGGACGACTCGCGGCCTGCCGCCATTTCCGTCATTCTATCTGCATCAGTTTTGGCAAGAAGCAGATATTTACGTCCGAGATCGTGCTTTCCTATACGACAGTAATGTTGCGCTATTTCGCAGAGGAGATGGACAGAGCAGTTGTCACCGGAATCGCTGTGCTGAGATAGAACTGGCGAAAGTTCATCGTAAGCTTTCAATGCGTCATTGACTGCTGCCACGTCTCCGGTAGTGGAATTCACCTCTATCAGCTTACGCCATGCCCTGAATAGCTCTTTTCGCACAGAGCGAACATCCGAGGCTTCGGGAGAAGACGTTTTGAGGCAGGCTACAAGTGTACTCGCGGTATCACGCAACACGTCTATCGCTTCGCTACGTTTTCCGTTGAGTAGAAGTGTCCCGGCGAAGTCCAGGGCTATCCTGCATTTTGACATTGTGTCATCAGGCTGTGCCATCGCTACTCTGTAACAGCTCTCTGCCTCTGCATTTTCTTGCAGTATACCGTGTACCAAGGCTTGCATCGAAGGTTTGTCCACGTAAAGCTCTAATTTTCGCAGCTTGTGGAATAAGTTTGAAACAACAGAGAGGGCCTGTTCCTTCGTCAAGTGTGCAGTACCCGGCCTGTGGATAGTTTCGAACTCTTTGAATCGTTCTTGGTCAACCGAAGTCGTCAAGAAATACTGCAGGGCGAATGTAGTCTTGAAAAAACGGTGCATGGCTCCTGATTCGATGTCTCGGAAGATTGGCGCGCCTACGTAGTCGTGAGCGGGAGACGTGGGCCAGAAGGAGGCGAGTTCCTTTTGACCACCGTTGGCGATATAGGTGCGCATGCGCGTTTCGTCAGCTATCGCAGCAGCGACCTGCAGGTGGTGACCGTTGACTTTGTGCATTATCGTCTGATTCGTCATCTCCGACAAAATGGCGGCAGCTGTTTTCTCATCAGAACCAACCAACAGCCCAAGACTATCAACCACCAAACTGGTCAGGCGGTACACGAACTTCTTCACGTTGAACGGCTCCGCCCTCCTTGGGATCCTGTGGATGTTGAATGTTTCCATGTCGGTGCAGAGAGTGCGCAGCGCCCGCTCCGTACGCACAGCCAGGCCCTGGACATGAGAGGGTGAATCCAGATACTGATTCACCAACCTTTCATACTGGTTCACCATGCGCTGGTCTCCTGTTATCAGACACACTTTACTCAGTACATCTGCCACGTGATCTTCCTCTTCTTTCTGGAGCTCTGCCATTCTAGTTGGAGTCCTGATGTATTCTAGTGCTGGTTTGTTCTTATACGGTCCCCTGCCTATGGACGTTTTACAGGCCCAGGGCATGGCGCCGTCGAAGGCAAATCCTTGCGGCATCACCGAGTCGTAAAACCAGTTATCCGCGGGGTCCCCCGAAACAAAGTTGTTCAGAGATCTGATCGCCATGGCGGGGAGAATCGTCTCTTGAAGATTGAGGATCTTGAGATGGAGAAGATAAGTCACTACCCTGAAGTACCGAGCGTTGCTCTTGTCTTCTTTACTTTCACAATCGACGAGGATGGCGAATTCGAAATCGGAAAATGGCGTCATTTCTTCTCTTGCCATGGAACCCAAGCCAATAACGGCATACGGGCATGGCGGGTCGCCGAACAAGTCAAAACATTCCTGCAACAGGTCAGAAATGAACTGTTTTATCTTAATAGTTGTATCGTGGTAAAGTCGTCTTACCGCAGCTGCCCTTCTTCCCTCCGCCGCTAGGGTTTCCTCGCTCTCCCGGTCACCTTGGTCGTAGCTACACAGCTTCTTTATCTCCTGTAAGCGAGTGTCACATTCTGACCTGATGTCCTGGAGTTGCGATTTGTGAGTGAGATCTGATTCTACTGTGGACGGCACGGCTCCCTTCACTCCGCCCACCTTCTCCAGAAAAACCTTCTCCGTACGTTTGATACGGTGTAGGAGGGCCTGGGTGTTGTCTGGGTCCTGACATCGCACCAGAGCTGAATTATACAGGGCTGAAGCCTTCGTAAAGTCGCTCCCATTCCTACTCGTAGTACCCCTGTGTAGGTACACGTCACCCATGCTTTTCAATGTGGCGATTTCAAGTTCTTTGTCTCCGCCCTCCATCGCCTCTTTCAGCGCGTCTGCCGCACGCCAACTCGGCATTGAAGTTGTCTCCTTCCCGATAAACCCGGTCCGCCACCGCAAGACGGTCACACAGTCGCAACATGGTCGGCAATTTGTCTCCGTTGGCTTAATATTTTTGAAGAGTACACGCACTGAATCGTCCCTACGCTAGTATTTAGCGTCGGGTCAAATTTAAGGTCATGAAAGGGTTTGTGTCAAATGTTATAGTCTCATTGCTGTACGTGAATAATTTTTGTAAAATAGTTAGACACTCGTGTGCACATTCTTTTTTAATCTCAATGTATTTATTACTTGAGTTTATCCGGAAACCTTTGGATTTTCCTTTGTTGAACTTTTATCTGTATTTAATGAAATGGTATCTATCAAGATAAGTTTGTAATATGCGATGGTCCCCTGAGGTGTGCCGGATATGACTGTGTATGCTAACAGTACAAAGGTCATGTAGTCACTTGAATAATGATGTATTTAATTGCAAGTTATTACCAACACGGTGTATTCAATTGCACTCTTTTTGTATTAAAAGGCATGCAACAGTCTTTAACGACATTTAACTGTCATCTGTCAATTTTGAAGGTTTGCATATTCAATAGGCTCAACCAGAAATGACGCATATGAAAGGTATTTTGCTCGAGGGCATGGTTTCGATTTCAGCCCAGAGATTTATTCCACAAGCAAAATTGAAGCATGTATACGTGTTGTATTTGGAGATTTCAATTTGGCTGAAACAATGGCCATGAAGCGGATATTTTATTTCCCAAGTACAATGAATCCTGGTTTTAATCGATTCAAAGATGTCGTTAATGTCACCTGCCTCGCTGGAATCAGGCATGACCACGCCAACCAAACGCAAGCCCTCCCCACTATCTCCCCAAGGAGGTTATTTTTTATCGGAGGTACCAGTTCCCCAACCAGTTGTCTGATGTTTGTCTGAGAGCACTGGGAATAGAACTTCTTGTACACATGGTGGTTCTCTGAATTATGAAAACAAGAAACAACATCAAATGTGGATATCGATAACTAACCAAACTGAGATGACATACAACCCCTTTTTGTGATATTTATGTGTCCTTGCTCTAATTGGTCACTGACCATTTAAGTGTGTCTTCAATTATCATAATTGTCCGCGACAACGCCTGGGACCATTGTCTGTCAATCAAAAATCATTCTGCCCCACTTTTCAGCTATTTTAGGAAGTATGGGTTTAATACCCACATTATTTTATTTCACGATCCCTCCAAACCAAAACAAGTTTTGTATTAACTCTTTTAATATATTTCTACTGATGTCACAATTTTAGCAACACTCTCAAATCAAAATTTTCTCATCAAATTTACACAAAATGTCACATCTGTTCCTCTGGGAGTGTACAATCACGTGGTTTTAGCCACTGGCCTAACCAGAACTACCGATTACAGAGAAATCAGACGCTAGCGCTGTGAGTGCGTTGTCACCAGTGGCGTTGTTGCTAAGGCGTCCAAACGGTTCTCTGTCAAACTTTTACGTTTTTTCACTGCTGTTGTCTGAATCTAGAATGGCAGGTAAGCTGGCCATGGCGAGCAACGCTAACGACTCAGCCGACGAGCAGTTTCTGACGTGTTCCGTCTGCATGCTGCACTACCGGGACGCCAGGATCCTGCCATGTCTGCACACGTTCTGTAGGCAGTGTCTGCAGGACTGGGCCGCCAAACAACAGCCGCTGGAGTGTCCGACCTGCCACGCACCGGTCAGTCTCCCGGACCAAGGGGTGGACGGACTCAAGACCAACGTCTACGTCAACAACCTGCTGGACTTCGGGGCTGTGAAGAAAGGAGCGGAGCCAGGTGTGCCGTGCCAGGTGTGCGAGGGGAATGAGGAGGGGTCGAAATCTTGGTGTACCGATTGCGCTACCTTCATGTGCGAGCCGTGCACAGCAGTGCACAGGAAACTCCCAGCTACTAAAGATCACCAAGTTACCACCGAAGAGACACTTAAAGAAGAGACAGATGTGAGCAAGTTTCAGCGCAAGCGACACTGCGACAGTCACAAGAACAACGAACTGGTCTTCTATTGTGAGAGCTGTGACGTTCTGGTTTGTACGGCGTGCACCGTGTTCAACCACCGACCTGGCAAAGAACACAACCCGGTAGAAATCACGTCCGTCGCCCGGGAGAAAAAAGAGACACTGCAAGGACTCCTCCAAGAGATAGACCCGCGACTGAAGAAAATTGAAGCCTCCATTAAAGAAGTTGAGAGGAAGATGGCAACATCTGTCCTTTTGAAAGCCGCAGCCACAAACCAAGCCAAGGTGTATTTCCGCCAACTTCTTGTCATTCTACAAAAGCGCCAAAAGGAAATCTTGAGCCAGATTGATGAACAATGTCGAGTCGACAGGGAAGGCCTGCAAGCTCAGAAGGAAGCGATAGAGTTGGACTTGGCCGAACTGACGAGCGCACAGAAGTTCTGCCAACAAGCTGTAGAACACGGGAATGATCTACACATTCTGGAGGTGTGGGACCCGGTCCAAACAAGGGTAGAAACTCTGCTGACAAAGCAGTTGGACCTGGAGTCCGACTGGAGCGAATTTCTGTTCGCAGAGAACACGACTCTTGCGGACTTCGAGAAAGAAGCGGGAGATTTCGGAGCATTAGTGAACGACGTCCCGGAATGTAATGTTGTTTTAAAGCCCGCAGTTCGAGGTTTCGAGTGTTTCACCGTCCTGACCACACTGAGCAAAGAGGACAGCCCGCGTGTCACCGATAGCAAAAACATCAAGACCAACATGAAAGACCCGTCTGGAAATGACGTCATGACAGAACTACAGGTGCAGGGAGAGGGCACGTGGAAAATATCGTACGTACCCAAGGTCACGGGCAGCCACGAGTTAGCGGTCAAGGTCAACTCACAGCAGGTGGCCGGAAGTCCGTTCGTCGTTGACGTAAAGGAAAGGGACATCCCCGTGTTAACTATCGGACGGCAGGGTAGTGGGGTGGGGGAACTGAACGGCCCGGCAGGTGTCGCTGTTGACAAGGACGGCAACATTGCAGTAGTGGAGCAGGGCAACAGGCGAGTCCAGATCTTCGACGCAGACAGCGGGCACGCTTTGCGGAGCTTCCCCGTGGACGGTGAGGACCCATACGGAATCGACGTAGACTCGGACGGACATTTTCTCGTGACGTCGTTCAACAAAGACCACGGAATCAGGCGTTACTCCAAGAAAGGCGAACTTTTGAACACGTTCAAGCCTGACTGTGTACACGTGCCGACCGACGTGGCAGTTTTAAAGGACGGCCGCATGGTGGTGGCGGACGGCAGGTCGTGTCTCCTCCTGCAGCCTGACGGGAGCCTCGTCCGGGAGATCGGCAGGAGACACCTGCAGGACCCGCGCTTCATCGCCGTGGACGAGTCGCGGGATGTGATGTTCGTTACCGACGGCGGCGCGCACAAAGTAGCTGTGTTCGATCTCGACGGGAACTCGAAGTTTGATTTCAGCAAGAAGGGTAAAAACGATGGCGAATTGCAGGGCCCAAGAGGTATAACCCTTGATCATACAGGTAATATCATTGTATGTGATAAAGCTGACGGTCGTGTGCAGGTGTTTGGGTCAGACGGGGCCTTCAGGCGGAAGGTGGCGACAGTTAAAGGCGATGAGGCCATCGGCATCGCCCTGACTCCTGACGGGTACGCAGCGGTGTCCTGCTATGGGGAACACTGTATAGAACTGTACAGGTACATGTGATCTCAGTATAGAACTGTACAGGTACATGTGATCTCAGTACAGAACTGTACAGGTACATGTGATCTCAGTATAGAACTGTACAGGTACATGTGATCTCAGTATAGAACTGTACAGGTACATGTGATCTCAGTATAGAACTGTACAGGTACATGTGATCTCAGTATAGAACTGTACAGGTACATGTGATCTCAGTATAGAACTGTACAGGTACATGTGATCTCAGTATAGAACTGTACAGGTACATGTGATCTCAGTATAGAACTGTACAGGTACATGTGATCTCAGTATAGAACTGTACAGATACATGTGATCTCAGTATAGAACTGTACAGGTACATGTGATCTCAGTATAGAACTGTACAGGTACATGTGATCTCAGTATAGAACTGTACAGGTACATGTGATCTCAGTATAGAACTGTACAGGTACATGTGATCTCAGTATAGAACTTACAGGTACATGTGATCTCAGTATAGAACTGTACAGGTACATGTGATCTCAGTATAGAACTGTACAGGTACATGTGATCTCAGTATAGAACTGTACAGGTACATGTGATCTCAGTACAGAACTCTACAGGGACATGTGATCTCAGTATAGAACTGTACAGGGACATGTGACATACCAACATGTATCTCACGGTATCTATATGGATACTAGTATATCCGGATATCCAACCCGCACATGTGCTGCCATGCCTAACTTTTGCCCATCTAACTTCAAGCGATGTTCATAGCTATCTATACTGAGGATGTCCCCAGGTCTATATATTGTACTTACAATCGGTGGCAATGAGTTCTATATTATCAGTTATGGTGTAAATGTTTGGGAATTTATGTTTTGTTCTTACCAATGTTAGGGTAATAAAAGGTGATCAGTTATATTGAGTACGTAGCAGTTGATACATGTATAGATATTGAAACGTAAAAATTGTAATAAAATCATGATGATGAGGATATCAAATATGCCTTAGCTTTGTCGCTTTTCGTCCGCCCCTTGCACGTTTATTTCTTATGTATTAACTTTTATTATGTATGGGCTAATAAATGAAATAAATAAATAAAAGAGATATTCTGCCATTTCTTATAAACGTACAGTATGAATAAACGAAGTCACAACAAGTACATGAACAGCAATTTTGTCATCTTACTTCCCCTCTCTCTTTCTATGTTACCAAAAATTAAATTTTCGAAACAGTTTTGTACGGCTTGGAACCCCGATTTTTCAAAGTCGATATTCTAGTTATTTATCTACATACTGAGTTGAAACCACACTATCCCAATACTATGTATATTTACTCTCATGGACAAAAATACCCCAAATTCTGACAGAAAATGGTTACTGGAAGGGCCCCGGGTTGATTTTAAGGGTACCACCTAGAAAATAAAGGACTCATCTTGGGGCTTGTTTCTGCAGCTTTTAGTTACCCAAAGTATGAAATACTGATTGAAATGTGCTAATGTGAAGTAGTATGTGTCAATGTCATAAAGATTGCCTCATTCAGAATATTTCCAAATTTGCTGCTCTGAAATCGCATTGGATGCCTTTAAAACATTTGTGTTGTTTTGTCTTGGTGTGTTCCTTTCACTTTTTATAGCACCGCATCCTAGCGGCATCACTAGCCGTGCTCGGGTTAGGGCTTTGCCCAGAAGTAGAAACCGTATTTGCCCCAGTTCCTTTGGATTTACGTTGACAGGTGCACCACGAAACAGGTGCACAACGTATGACATCATAGGGTTCAAAGGTGAGAAGTGAAAGTAAGGCTCCATCTCGTACCCAGGATCCTCCGTACACACGCTGTGTTGTAGCAAAGTGCTCTGGGATCGAGATTAGAAAGGGCCAAATCCAACATGGCGGACGATTTGAAGACTGTGCTCCAGAAATATGTAAGAAATTTGTGTTTTTCTGCTGTATAACCACGTATTTCCAGTTAACAGTATGTAAGAGTGTTCCCCGTGTGATATTTGTAAAACGTGGGCTCTAAGATTAGCCTTTTCAAGCTCGATTCTTTCATTTAAACCTTGCACATGTTCGGAGAAAAATCGTCTGCTATTTTTGCCCCGATGACGGAATAAAACAGCTGCATCCACAAATTTGAACATTTCATCACAATTCTTCATTTTTTTACGATTTTTAGGCTGAAAAATCCTGTCAAGATGATGACCTTGACCCAGAAGACAAGGACGTCTTCCTCGTGTCAGCGCAGAAATGTCTGGAGAACGGAGAGACCGATTCGGAAACGCTGCTTCGAGAAGTTTCCAACACAGCAAACGCGGTAAGGGGATCCGGGGACGAGGGGCGGTACTGGAAAGTTCAAACACTGTCCTACACAAGATATTACATGTTTGATGACTTAAAACTGTTGCTGAAATATCTTTAATTTCACAAGGGTGAAGACTTTTTCATTGAGCCACTGAAATATAAACCCCACATTGCAAATACATGTTTATGCAATTTTTGTTATTGCCCTCATAATAATACATTTTTAGGTCCAACAGCAAATATGAACTCAAAAGTCAAATGTTTTTTTTTTTTCCGTCTCTGCTGGTACAAGTTCTGTAATGTTTGATAAATGCTCAATATAATTGTCAGTTGTAGTAGTAAGACCATTTTGCAATTTCAAATGTTGCTGTACAGTTGTCTTTAGTAATCCGTAGTAAAAAATAAAATTGGTGCACTTAATTTTTTAGGTTGGGTGCCAGGTGTACCTATTCCCAAAAATGAATTTCGAGCCCTGACTTAAAAACATTCTCCCTGCAGGGGTTTATGTGTGAGGTAGGCTGGGACCTCCTGCCGGTGGTCACACCGTTCCTAACAGCTGGGAAAGCACCGGACACCGTCCAACAACACTGCAGGGGTGTGCTGGGGGCACTGGCTGAGGTGGGTGGAGATTTGCCAAAAAAAAAGATTATGGTTCTGTCCGTTCTGAATCAACTAAAAATGCTCATATTTTGCTCCCAACAGTTGAGGAAAGTCCTTTTCTTCCTAGTTGTTGCAGTTTTTCCATCTGTCAATGCAGTGGTTTGATTAAAGTTCAAAATTTGTCGTTTAGATATCAACGAAATCTTTTGTGTTGACTTCTTGGCTCCAATCATAGTATTTGGGGCTATAATAGGATGCCTAGACCTGTTTTTATTTTTTTTTTGCCCTGTCGCTTCATATTTTTTGCTGAAAAAATCAGAGAACCAACAAATTAAATTGTTGCGGCCTTACTTGTTTGTCTGAAGGTGTGCAAGCCTAAGGAGTTTGTCCTGGGGATTCTGGAGAAGCTGGAAGGACTGGAAGATGACAACGTCTTCAAGGCTCTGCTGACTCCTTTACAGAGAGGTGACTATTAACAATTAGTAATACATGTGTAATAGTAAGTTTATTGCAAGTTCATATCCAATGAAACAATGTACAAAAGAATTGTAAAAGTGACTAATCTACATTCTTGTAGAAGTACCATTATTTGGAAATAATTACAAATCAATCTGTCTTCTGCATCAACGATTGTATGAATGTCTTTCCACATATCACTCTTTTTATTACCTAAAGATTGAAACAAACTTTTGATGCCAGGAATTGAACCCGAGCCAAACCCAGGCACCCAGCTTACAAATGCATTGCACTACTAGTAACTGCTAGGCCAAAGGGTCCAGACCCATTGAACTGGGTCAGTTAGTGGTGCCTGACCCCCACTGTTACACTTCTCCCTAACGTAAAAATTTGCACATCGTAGTTCTCCAGAGACTGACCGGGAAGAGGGCCCACTGTATCGGCCTGACGCTGACCACCCTGCACTCCCACCTGACCGAGATCCCCCTCCCTTCCAAGAACAAACCCCAGGACCCAGAGGATGAGTCCTGGAGACAGTTTGGTGTGGACATGAAGGACAAACATGTGGGCAGACTACTGGACACCACAGAAGCACTCCTGGAGTTTGTTCAACCATTTGTACAAATGGCAAGAAAAGACTCTTCCATAGAGGCAGCTATGAACAAGGTACAAAATTTCAGTCTGTCCGTCTTGAAGTATTTGTGGTTCCGCAGTGTCCCTCCAGGAAAAACAGACCAGATTTCAAATTTACTTTAAGCTTATCATGATTGTTCTTATTTCCAGGAGGAACTGAAAGACTTGGAGGTACTTAGAAAGGAACTTGTCAAGTTGTAAGTACATGTACAAATGTATTATGATCCTTATTCCTTCACTCTGGCAAGTAGCCTGGGTACCATCCTGGTTAGTTTATGTCTGCTCCTACAGATGTGATTTGTACAAACTATAGCAATATGTTAAATTATATAAAAAATGAAACTACAGCCACGATACAGACTGTAACATATTTTAACTGTTGCCATTTCTCCAGCCTGACCAGACTGTTCAAATATCCTCTGGTTTACCTGAACCTGGAGGAACTCCCTGTGAAGGAAGAGGAAGAGACACCAGGGACTGAGGAGACAGGACAGACACAGGAGCCCCAGCAGAACAGATGCAGGCTCTGTGCCCAAACCAACATGGTTAGTATAGTCCTAATATCATGGATGTGCATGTGTACTCTGTCTTTCAAAATAAATATTACCTGTTACTATTAAGGTTTCTTTATCGGCTAATTTGGTGATTTGAGTTTGTACTGTTTTACCATTGAAGAAGAGAGATATTAAACTGGGGTTGTACTGAATAATAGTAGCTAGTGACATAAGGTTCCCAAATATAATTTTTGGAAGGACATGAATGACATCATCATGTTTTATTGCCCATTTCATAGTCTTTTAAATGAAAAACTACAAAACTTTGTACCAGTACAATCTGAATAAAAAACTGTTCTTGGAAGTTGGTTATGCATGTTTGTGCCAATACAAATGTTTTGGAATGTTTGCAGTCATACTTACAAGCCCTAGACCCGAGCTTCTCCCGCCTGCTGGGCCTGTGTGACCACTACTGCGGGCCTCCTGACATGCGCGCCAAGAGAAAAACAAAATCTGCAGACAAACAACAGGAAGGAGAGGAGAAGACAGAAGAGGATGATGGAAAGGAGGAGGCTTCACTGCTGGGACTGTGCTGCTTCAGTTACCTGCTGTTTGTAGAAAACATCTGTGTGGAGAAGTTGCCTGCTGTGCTAAGGTGAGGAAAGTGGATCTGAAAGTAGAAGACAAGCTATTTGTCAGTTAGTACCAAGCATGTAATGACAGCAGTTGATACATGTACTTTTGACTTATGGTTTTCTAGATAGTATAATCTCATACTAGTACAGTTAAAACTTCCCAAGAGGACCACTCAGGGTACCAATAGAATCTGGTCCATGTAGACAGGTGGTCACTGTAGAAAGGATTCTTTATGCTTGTGTTAAAAATTATCAAAGGGACCACCAAAAAGTGGTCACATTGGCCAGTTAGTCCTTATGTTCTAGGTGGTCACTTTTACAGGTTTGACTTAATGCTAATTTTTAGATGGCTTTTGTGTGTGCAGCTGATTATTTCTGCAGTTCATATGGTTGTTTTTACATGTGTACGTTTCTCCAGCCATGAGTTCCTGGGAGCCATACATATAGTTCTCATCTGTGAGGTACTGAAGAAACCACACAGACCTGTCATCCATAAGGGTCTGGTGAGTAGGCTGATTCCCTTCTTCAATCCTTCCTTCTGTTCATCCATCCATCTGTCTTTCTATTTGTCCATCCTTCTGCCATGTTTGTGTCCCAGTTTTCATTTCAATGGTCTCATCTGAAGTGTACACAGCATTTTTGTGTTTTATGAGTATGTTTTTAATGTTCTTCTGGTATCCTCTTCTTTGAGCTGTAGACATTGAAAAGTTGTTTTTTTAGAGAAGATCTTATGATGTCCGAAAACACTTGGAAGTATGATTCTCTGAAATGCAAATAGGGACACCAACGTTAACATGGCTTCAGACACAGTGATGACGTCCCTTAAAACTTTGTATTTGTATCTCATATTTTAGGAGTTGACCAAGAAGCTGCTAGGTAACCTGGAGCCATTTTCTCTCAGCTATGAGATTCTGGAGCTGCAACCGTTCGCAGTGCTACCTGAGGTATGTTATCCGGAAAGTTTTAGTCTCCTGTATTTCTCTAATCTTAAAGCGTCTGTTCATGTTATAACTTGATTTATACAAAGCTCTGGTAATAGCCAGAGGGCTTAATAGGAATGCAAGGTTGACACACAATCAAATGATCTGTCAAAGTGTTGTGTTTCTTATTATATGTTTGTAGATATGGATCACTTTTCATTTTACCAAATCAAAGGGATTTGAAAGTCACCAAAGATAAAATATATTAAATAAAACACTTAACTATTACAAGGCTGAATCATCATTGAAACAGTACAGATTGAAAGAGTGTTTGGTAACACGAAAAAGTTTATGACTGTCGTCTATCTACTGATGCAAAACTGGGAACTAACCTTTGTCTATTTTCCAGTCTTTGATTCATGTCATGGTGAACTGCCCAACCAAATCTTTGGTAAGTACATCTGTTACCTGATTTCAATATTTTGCTCTTTATTGATTACATTTTACTTTCTAAAACAGGCATAGTCAGTATTTCTTTTAATCTTAAATTTGGCCATGTGAATATTCTTTCTTATTTGTTATTGTTAATTGTATGATGCAGTACTTTTAGACAATTCGCTTTAATTCTTCATTGTGTTTTTGTTGCAGAGAAAGTTAGCCCATGACCAGTTCACTGCCTATGTGGAGAAGTTTGACTGGAGGGGGAGGTACCAGTTGCTGAGGTCAGTACTGTGTATCCTGTATCTCTATCCCTTTCTTTAAGCATGCAATCAATGGCTTACAATGGCCCCTATTAAGAACTGCAAGACGGACAGTAGCATGCATGCTATTTGTCACAACATGGTCCAGATATGGGGTTGTATCACTAGACTACTGGTATTCAAACTGTTCTGTATAATATAATATAATATAATATTGAGTTTCAACTGTTTTGTGTACTAAGAAAGATAAAGAAACAATTTAAGCTGTTGTTTATTGTATGTTTGTTGTTTAAAACACCTGTTTTCCAGAGGGCTGATGGAGAAGACTGAAGGTCATGCAGGAGTCATGGGTCTGATTATTGGCAAGGTTAAGGACCAGATAGACACCTGTCTGAAGGTTTGTACTGAAAACTGTCATTTCATGGGACGAAGGAATGCTTTGTACCTAGTGCCTGTACCTGTATACCTAATACCTGTATCTGTGTACATAGTACCTGTAGCAGTGTACCATAAAATAATTTCCTCATCAGTTTGTTGTAGAACCAGTCTGTTGTTGTAGAACAAGTCTGTTGTTGTAGTACAAGTCTGTTGTAGAACAAGTCTGTTGTTCAACTTGTTATAGTATAAGTCTGTTGTAGAGCAAGTCTGTTGTTGTAGTACAAGTCTGTTGTTGTAGAACAAGTCTGTTGTTGTAGAGCAAGTCTGTTGTAGAACAAGTCTGTTGTTGTAGAGCAAGTCTGTTGTAGAACAAGTCTGTTGTTGTAGAACAAGTCTGTTGTAGTACAAGTCTGTTGTAGAACAAGTTTGTTGATGTAGAACCAGTCTGTTGTTGTAGAACAAGTCTGTTGTTGTAGAACAAGTCTGTTGTTGTAGAACAAGTCTGTTGTAGAACAAGTCTGTTGTTCAACTTGTTATAGTATAAGTCTGTTGTAGAGCAAGTCTGTTGTTGTAGTACAAGTCTGTTGTTGTAGAACAAGTCTGTTGTTGTAGAGCAAGTCTGTTGTAGAACAAGTCTGTTGTTGTAGAGCAAGTCTGTTGTAGAACAAGTCTGTTGTTGTAGAACAAGTCTGTTGTTGTAGAACAAGTCTGTTGTTGTAGAACAAGTCTGTTGTTGTAGAACAAGTCTGTTGTAGTACAAGTCTGTTGTAGAACAAGTTTGTTGATGTAGAACCAGTCTGTTGTTGTAGAACAAGTCTGTTGTTGTAGAACAAGTCTGTTGTTGTAGAACAAGTCTGTTGTTGTAGAACAAGTCTGTTGTTGTAGAACAAGTCTGTTGTTGTAGAACAAGTCTGTTGTTGTAGAACAAGTCTGTCCTTGATCCCCCAGGATGATCCACCCAGTGACTGGTTCACAGGGAACAAGCTGAGCGAGCTGCTGAGGAAGATACTGCACCTCCCTGATGGGGCCACAACAGACCTGCTGGACAACAGGGATTGGTCAGTATTCCATCTCTATGTCTCTGTGGAGTTTTTTTTGTAGAGTTTTCAGGCAGTTTCAAAACTAAGTCTCAATGTTGATGTGGTAATCTCCCAGTGAGAAAGAAATCATGAGTGTTTGGTATCTTGTTCTGCTGTGTTCATCGTGTCCAGTATCCCATAAATTTGCTATTTCATGACTTTTGTGTACTACAGACTTTGCATTATTTTTTACCTCTATTTGCAGGATCATGCCAGCCCTGAATCTCCTGCGGTACCTTGTAATAAGGGACAAGCCTGATCAAAACCAGGTAAAGATGTTATTCCCACAGATGTTGTGTTGTTGCCCATGATTGGAGGATGGATGTTGTGTTGTTGCCCATGATCGGAGGATGGATGTTGTGTTGTTGACTATGATTGGAGGATGGATGTTGTATTGTGTTGTTGTCCATGATTGGAGGATGGATGTTGTATTGTTGTCCATGATTGGAGGATGTATGTTGTGTTGTTGCCCGTGATTGGAGGATGGATGTTGTGTTGTTGCCCGTGATTGGAGGATGGATGTTGTGTTGTTGCCCGTGATTGGAGGATGGATGTTGTGTTGTTTCCCACAGACTGGAGTGTGGACAGACTGGCCTGATGTGGAGAAGGGTTTCCTCCGACAGCTGAGGACTGGAGTCAACCTGTCCAAGTCTCACTTCCAGGAGGAACTCAAGAAAACCAGACTCAAACAGAAAAACACTAGTGAGTTCATATCAAATAACAGGATTTTTACTTGAATAAACCTATTGTAGACTGTAGAGTAGTATACATGTACCAGGAAAAAAGGCAACTGACACTACAAATGTTGGGTATAGTCAAGAAGCACCATTGTAGTATGTTTTTTGTTTGTTTGGTCATTGTTCTTGTTTTTTTATTTACAGATAAACCAGAAGTGCAGGCTAGCATAGAAGTGGCCGGAGACAAGATGCCAGATATGCCATATGAACAACAGATCATGGTGAGAGGATAGTGCACTTTTTACACTGTACTACTGACATCTCTTTTGTGAACTGAGCTTTACAATCATGGACTTCAGCTACAGACAGACCATTCAGAGGATGTAGTCAAGTACAAATATAAAGTATCATTCTGTCCATTTGTTGTGATGAAATAGGGGGTATTTTTGATATTGGTGTAGACAATATTGCATGTAGATGATGTCCACCTGACATGATTTTTAATACTTTTGCAGGTGTTGGAAAGCTCGATGCAGATGTTCAGTGTGATTGAGAGTCTTCTTGGAAGAATTACAGAAGTCACAGAGACATACAGGTATGTGGTCCTGTAAACTGTAACTTTCAGCCATGCATGTGTTTATGGGTTATTGTCTTGATTGGTGAATGGCAACTGCTTGAACATTACCATTTTTTTCTATGAAGTAAGTCACGTAAGTTGTTACCATTGTAGAATCTATATTAGCATCTTCAACTGATATTTAGATGAAGTAGAATTTTTTCACATATGATGTTCAAAGATGTAGTTGTACAAAGATAGATAGTCCTCAATTCAAAGTCCATCATTTTTGCCAATCTTTTCTCTGATGAAGCTAAAAGAAAAGACAACTCACATGACTGGCAAAATGATTACAAAAGTACATGTAGCTGGTGTTTTATGCCAAGGGGCAGTTATAAGTATACCGGCAATACAGATGCAGATACAGACAGATACAGATACAGTAAGTTAGCCATAGCTGGACACAAAACAAACAATCCCAAATATCCGTCCCTCCTGCAGGACTGGAGAGAAGCCCCAGGGGAAGATCTACAAACGTGAGACAGACTGGAAGTGTTCGGACTTCCACGCTGCGGAGGATGATAAGGACGCGGTGTACATGACCTGCCCGTGCTGCGGAGAGAAGACCAAGATGCCGCCGGGCTTCGAACCCCCAAAACCAGGCGAGGAACTCAAACAATTCGACATTGAACTGGGCCCCCCTGATGATGACCTCCAGTATCTGTAAGACTAAGAGTGATCATATGATAAGTAAAGAATTGTTTTCAGTTGAAATTTTTTGGTATCTCAAAAAAAATGGTTTGTACATGGGACATTAACCTTCATCCAGCTATGGTAGCCTTTTGGCACCAAATTTGTATTGTGTACTGGGTAATAGACAGCAGGAAGAAGGTTAAAGTACCCGTAGTTTGGGAGACAAATTCAAAATGAATATGTCAGTTAACTCGAAATTAAAGATGTTGACTTCTCCTTTAACATGTTAGGATAGTGTAGATCATAGTGAGTTATGGAAATTTACAAAAAGAGAAAAGGTATACCTGGGTTGCCAACTGGTTGCCCCAGCCAGAGTTATTATGGAGAATTTACATGTCTCAGGTTGTAAGGACTAAAATATAGGTCTATATAATAATGCATTTGGACACATGCATTTAGTGTAGTCATTCTAGTATCTTAAGAAGTAATATTAGACTACATTTTAAGATCAGGAACAGTGTTTAGGAATGCAGTTAGTTTAGACCAGGGCAAGAGTAGGACATTTGTTGTAAGTGTACAGGCATATGGCATTAAAAGGCAAATGTCTTTGGACTGCCCAGTATCTGTCCATATATACTTTTGAAAGTACATGTATATCAAATGGACTTTTGCAGATATCCCTTTACTTCAAAATTACAACTTCTAAGTGACTATGTAGAAACAGGCAGTGTATTGTCCTCACTACCTATCCATTTGGTAGAACAATCTGTACTTTCCAAAATTTTGTAACTACAAAAAGGTAGATGATGTACATGTAGTTTTTGATAGTGCAAAACTTGCTATGCTACCATAATTCGATACATTTGTTGCAGACATTGTTGCTGAATAGGTTTGATTTAGGTCTTGTTGAACTTCCTTGGTGGAACTTTGCAGAAGTTGTCTACGTAAAAGTAGATGTTTGATGTGGATTTATTGAACCCTCAAGTGTTTCATTTTTATGTGTTGCATATCAACTATCATAGGTGTGTTGTGTATGACTATCATAGATGTGTTGTGTATGATAAATTGTTACATTCTAGCCTAAGTTCAATAAAAAAAAGGTGTGTACACTTCCATGCACTTCAGCCCTTCTAAAACTTAAATCATTACCTAGAAAAGCTTATTACCTTCGGGGAAGGAGACATCCTTCCACGGAAGGGTATTAGAACAGTTTGGGATTTTCATGTTCGCAGCTGTTTCTTGCGTTTGGGTGGACAGATTTTTTTGGGACTCGGTATTTGTTTTGCTATTGGGCTGTAGATGACGCACATTCTTTTGCTTTTATTGTAAATGTGTTTTCGGGCGGGAAAATTAAGACTTTTGGCAGCTCCCAAACACCCTTTTGACCCTGAAAATGGTCGCGCGCGTTGACCTTTGGTGTGTTTAAGGTATTATCGGTTTGGTCCACTTTCCTTACACTTCAAACAAAGGGGTGTCCGGTTTTGATAAATTCTCTGTTTAAAAATATGCGCCAAAATACTGTTTTCCACGGCTACATAGCCAGATTTAGTTAAAATATGCACAATGCAAAGAACCTTAAGTGAAAATATATATTTCTTTGCGGATTTATGGTGTCTTTTGAGCTCGATCGAACCCGGGAAGTGTTAACACGAGGGCATGGTATCTGGTAAGGGTAGCGAGTCACAAGTATGCAAATGAGTATTATACAAACATTTGCATACGTACGTATATTACTACAACTTCTTGTTAACCCTTGTATATTGATGTACTATAAGCAGCAAGCTTCTGTATGTATCATTTCGGATCCCAGTCACCCTGTCTCCATTCATATGATATTGAGATTGACACTGAAAATTCACAAATTGATTTCCTTCGTATATTGCAGTCGGTGTGTTAATATTCAGTTTGTTGTCATGAAGAAAAGACCAGGTTCAAACTGAAGCTGTCCCTGGTGCTGAAAGCCATCCCTACACAATGCCCCCTCCCCTGTTCGTGATAATATTACCGGTTGCCGAGCATTTTCACCTCCCCTAACCTCATAAATCGGCTCCTTTTCTCTGTACAGGCAGTTCTTACAACTCTGTAGCTTATCTTGGGGAACATATTGCCCACAATAGTCCCGTTCGTCCGAAAATCCTTCGTAACTTCAGTTTTTTGAAAGCGGCTGTTTAGTTTCGAGTTGGTTGCCCATATTTGGTTGTAAAGTGAGACGTCATTGTATTAGCCAATCACGCTCAATGACTCAAAAACGTGACCGTACGCGATGATAGCCAATCAACATCAAGGATACATAGGCTAATGACCCTCTGCGCCATGTATCAAAAGCGACTTTTAGCAGTCGGTGAAATCATTGCACATGAAAAAATCACTCAAGTACCTGCAATAACTTCATGAACTGCTAGAGGCCCTCATTGACACGTGTAATGAATTGGCATTGTGGCGCCTGTGGATGCCTCCAATTAACTAAAGCGTGAGGGTAAACTTTGTAAAGAAGGGTGCACGTTCGCCAGGGATGGAAAGATTCTTCTGGACACCTCAGGTATGAATTATTACACTTCTATAAAAAGCGTTCGAAACACGTTCGATTTAGTACGTGGCGTAACGGCTGTCTAGAAAGGCTTGGGTGGAAAAACTGGAGCGAAAAATTGAAGTTAAAGCGTTTTATTACCTTCGCCAAGAAGGTTATGTTTTCAGAGGCGTTCGTGTATGTATGTGTCCGTCTGTAGGCACGATAACTTGAGAAGGCTTATTATGAGTTGAATGATGAGGATAGAAAATTTGAGAATTTTGAATTCATAAGATGAAATCCATAATTAAATCATCGTATTTTTTTCAGTCTGCATGTGTAGTGATTGCCTATTGGCTTGTCTTTAATCTAATGTTAACTTGATTATCGAATGCAAATTTTGCTCATGATTTACAGGTGACACAGCACCTGTGCGTGAAACACACCTTTCCAAGATGTCGAGTGAGCATGGAAGGAAAGAACGAACGGGTAAAAATTCCGCCCAGGAAGACGCGCCACGTTCGCTTTGGTGGTAAGTTGTACTTTAAATTGTCGTAGATACTCTCCGGACTATTATAGGTAAATCTCCTTTAAGATAAATGACGCAAAACGACGTAATTTCGAAAATAAGTTGCGGCAACTGTCCCCACGAGTTACCGCTGCACTATGTGAAGTAACCGATGCACCCCCATCAAACTCCTTTCAAGCCGCACCCGAAAATTCAAGCCGTACCCGCTCAAAAATTCGTGCCGTACCCGGAAATTCGAGCCGTACCCTGTACTTTTTCGCCGTACCCAATGGCGGATATCGCTCAGCCCCGGTGCGTAGTCACTCGGAAGTCGTGTCTAAATACCCTGTACGGCAACGCAACACAACCTCATATAGCCTATGCTCTGGTAAATATTCCTGGCCACCTATCTGCCGGATGGCGTCGTACAAATCGCGCCCAATCTTGAGAACACTTCGCTCGGCCGTCCGTTCTCTCCAGACCGCTTCTCGGAAATTCAAGCCGCTCTCGAAAAAGTACAGGGCACGGCACGAATTTCCGGGTATGGCCAGAATTTTTGAGCGGGCACGGCTTGAATTTCCGGGTACGGCTTGAAAGGAGTTTTATGGGGGTGGATGAGGGCGCATTTGCGTGGTCCAGATATATAAAGGAAGATAAAAGGCACTTTCATTTATTCGAATGTTTATTCATTTTACACCGTACCCACACCAGTTCTTTGAACATGGGTCAACCAATTACTATTCAATGAGGGTGAAATTAATGACCTTGAAATAGAAGAACTACACCAATCTGATTAAAGGTGCATTTTATACATAATCCGCTGACGGGCGCTTATATGTGACCCCTGCCGACCCTGAACAGCTTTGCCTGAAACTTGGTATGTTGTTGTCGTCCTGTGTGTTTTGGTCAAATTCTATGCGTTTCAATGTAAAACAAAAGTGTTACGAGGCCAAGAGCAGACAGAGGGGACACGATAGTACCGTTTGTGAAGAGGATGACATGGATAAGGTGATAGATTTGGAAGGAGAGGAGACAGACGACCGGTAAGTTCGAGTGGGGAGGGGGGCGGTAACAGAGTTGCTTATGTATCGAAGACCATATCCAGGCCAATGATATACGTCACTTAGTGCTCAGGAAGGTAAATTTGAAGGTAGAAAAGACACCAAGTACATAAGGTTGACTGTAAGAGAAGCGGTTTTGGTCTAGAACAGTTCAGGACTTTTCTATGCATGTTAACCAGTTGTTGAACGGTAAAAAAAGACTCTCGAACTTGAATTTGGTAAAGAACGTGGCTATATACACTCCCGTAGTGTATATAAAATCTATTTGTCTTTTATATACACTCCCGGAGTGTATATAAAATCTATTTGTCTTTTATATACACTCCGGGAGTGTATATAAAATCTATTTGTCTTTTTATTACACACTCCCGGTGTGTATATAAGATCTATTTGTCTTTTATATACACTCCCGGAAAGTTGATAGGGCATTCGAATGATCTGTCGCCGGTGCGAAGACCGCGCGATCGGCTGGGTTATCCGGAGTCACCAAAGGGACCGGGGCGAACCCCGGGTTGGTCTTGGTCTGATAAATGCACGCCAGACCGTGAGGTCGGCGCTTCTTCCGCATGTATTAGCTCTAGAATTACCACAGTTATCCATGTAGGATGTGACGATCAAAGGAACCATAGCTGATTTAATGAGCCATTCGCAGTTTCACTGAGACAGTTTAAACTTGCACGTGCATGGCTTAAACTTTGAGACAAGCCTATGACTACTGGCAGGATCAACCAGGTAGCGAGGACGCCAGGGGCGCGCGACCGGTCTCGCCGCCGCCGCCGGGAGCGGAGGGTCCCGGGCCCCGCGCAAGCGGGGCGGGGCGGTCCGCTCGACCGAACTTCGGTGGAGATTTCCGTGTTGTTTTCTGATTTTCATCATCCAATAAGATAAACTTGAAGACCGAGGTTTAAACTTGGTGCCCCTGAATCCTCAAACACTCACAAAAACCCAAGTTTTGGGCCTACCAAGGAGGCTAGTATTTCGGAGTGTATATAAAATCTATTTGTCTTTTATATACACACCGGGAGTGTATATAGCCACGGCGTTTGGTAAAATCTGGTTTATATCTGTCGTGTAAACCTTAGACCGGGCTCGAATTTTAGGTGCACTAAGTTTCCTATGAGATGCATATTATGTTATTTGGAATGTGATATCAAGTGTGATTATTATTTGGTTATAATATTCTACATGTCTGTTCACTGTTGGCTGTTCTCTTCTTTTGCCTGACATTAACAATGTTCCATGTGTTCTTTTCCCAACCAATACAGATGTTAGAACAAATGTATTGTGATATCTTATGTACATGTGATCACGGTGATATCATGTGTGAGATGTATTT